GAGTATTCTATATAAAATAAAAAATACCAACAATAGCCTACTTTCAGCTTCCTACTTTTGGATTAAACTACATTAATAATCAATATACAGTACTGTGCAAAAGTCAGAGACCATACTTGGCTTTCTACCGAAGCATATATTCCATAGAAAATGACACAGAAGCCTAAACAGCTAAATATAATATCAAATTTTTTAGTAAACATGTTTAGTGGCGTTGAGGTCTGGACTCTGGAGTGGTCAGTCCATTGTTCAGCTTCCTTGTTTGCTGTGACTGTCTACTTTTCTCAGTAAGAGCTTCTTGACAGCTACACATCCTTTCAGACCCATAGTGCTGAGTTGTCTTCTCACAGTGGAAGGATGGACAGAAACACCTGTGGATGTTTTCAGATCTGAAGCAGCTTGATTATCATCTCTCAAAGATGAAAGCTTTAAAGCGCGTACATCACTGAAAAACAAATTTTCCTTGCGTTTTTTTAAATATAGGAGTTTGAAGTAGTATGTAAAAATGACAGCCTCACAAATATTATGTTTTGTTGATTAAGTGGACCTCAAGAAAAAAAATAAAATACAAGAAAATGTAGGATGCGTGCTCTTTAGGTGCTGTTTATCTGACGGGGAAAGTTTTGGTGTCTACCAGGTCTTGCAGGTGGTTGTTAGGAGCCCTATTTTCTCTGTAACTTCTGATCATTTTTTGAACTCCAGTTTTGGAATCTCCAGTTTTTTCACCTATTTTCTTTTAATTTTCTCCTTCAATATGTAAGTGCATTATATAATCTCTTTAGAAATATCTTTTGAAAAAAGAGTAGCATGTACTTAATGGCTGTTTAGGCCGGAAATTAAATAAATAAAGAGCGGTCTCTAACTCTGAAAACATACCCATAAAAAATACTCTGAATTTTAAAAAATTATGTTTTTGCAGCACACCTGAATAGTGACTGTTTTGTCCAACATGGCCTCTGAGCTGTGTTACTGTCATGATTAAATGCATTGTGAAAACACAGATCATTGTGTGTATGTGTCACAGGGCAGAACGTGCAGGAGTTCTTCTTTCGAGTGGCCGCTTTGGCCTTTGAAGACGCCATCCTGCAGGAGCTTGAGTTGGGGAACAGCACTGCACGGATAGGAGATGGAGACATTCTGAGTAAGTTATTAGTTAAGAGCATACAGTCCCTGTTTTGGCTGGATGAAGAATGAACATTTTAATGATAGTTTGGCAAATGTAGTTGATCAGCCAAGACATGTTTGTGTCTGAAGTGTGCTTCTTAAGATTTAAGCTTCTTGACAAGTAACCAGATAATGTTACAAAAGCGATAATTGCCGTGTTGGGACAGAAAGCTTACTATTTTAATTCTGAACAGCCTTCTTAATATTAAATGTATTTTTTTTAATTTAAACAATAGATGATTCAACTTCAGTAGTGCAAATTTCCCACTGCGTCTGCTGTGGGTTTCTCAGAGTGTTGCATGAGGAAAATTTTCAGCATTGTTTGTGCCAGTGCCCCAGTGCTTTAGATGAGCTGTAAAATTATGATAAATAAAATACTTCTGATTTCCTACAGTTATTTATAGCCAAATTCCAGAGTGCCTTCGCAATAATGACGTGTTGTCTTTTATATGTAAAGCATGTGCATGTCGATAGTTTATTAACTGAATATGTTGAGTTATGCAGTATTATATTTAACATGTGATTTTCACTGAACTTTCAGTAAAGCTTCAGTAAATCTTGTAACGTTTTCACCAGACTCAACTGGCGAAATCATCAATAATCAAGATTTTTTCTGTTGCCCAGGCCTGTTACAAAAAACTTGATTTATGCATACCCAGCCAGCAATTATTAATGCACTAAATTATTATGTTGGTTAATGGAATAATTATTTATTGTGATTATTTCTAAATGTAATTATTTATTGAACATTGGTACATTGTATATTATTTTATCACTGTTTTATGAAAGCAATAGAAAAGCAAAAAGCAAATATTACAAAAATCAAAATAAACTAATTTTAGTACAAAGATTGTGATAAACAGAGAAACTTTGATGGTAATAATGCTTTTATTACCAAAAAACTGTAATGCAGAGACCCTTAATGCTTTAATATACTTGCTTCTGTGGATCCTGACACTGTATTCTTTATACAGATATACTCAATAATGCATTCTGAATGATAACACAGAATTTTTATTGGCAGAAGCTGACAGAGCACAAGGAAGTCTTGAGGCGGTGGCAGTGAAGAAGTCTTGCTGTTGATCCAGAGCAGCTTCTGCAGAACTTTAACCTGAAGCCAATAGAGGAAGCAGCATGGGTTTCCAGGATGAAGGAACAGAAGCGATATTCAAAAGCAGAAAATCCATACACTTCCTCACAAGGGATCCACGCTGAGTTATTGTAGAGACGCTGTATTTGGAGTCTCGGTTCATTAAGGGAACAAAACATAAGATTTACCCTGGACTGAGGACACTAAATGAGAGTTATCATGGTATTTTACAGCTTCAGTATTGTGCTTCTTTAACCACTGCCACTGTAGAAATACATGACATTTAATGTGGAACTGTTTAAGAGCCAGAAAGTATGAGCTTCTCTCGCTCTTCACACTTCAGCATGTGTTAAAACCCATCACTGAATTGATTTCAGTATTTTTTGACCCTTATCTGCTCCAAAATGTAATTGATTTGTAGTTTGAAAGCTTGTTTTCAAAAGGTGACTGATTTTTAATATTGAACATTTCTTTTGCAGTTTGTGCTTTTTCATTAAAAACAAGTTAAACGTATTATGTTTCTGTGCTGTTTGTTTTGTAGATTTCCTCTTTCTTTACTGGGCAGCTTTTTTCCTCTAATCGCTGATGCTTTCCTGAGGTTACACCATTTGGCACAGAAACCTGAACAAACTTTACTGTTTCATGAAAAAGTCAGGCTTTCAGATATTTTTTAAAGAGTCACTGAACTTCACACATAACCATGAGGGTCTTTGAGGGTCTGTTTTGTTATGCAATTTGCTAGCTCATGGTTTTCTTGCTGCATTACAGCTTTCTGACTATTGATTACTTGCTTATGTTTGAGGTAAACAACTTAAGAGACAGAAGATTTTCAAATATTAATAATGTTTACTTAATTGCAGAAAATATGTGTTTCAGTAGTGATGATTCACTATGCTTCCAAATTGTTTTTCAGACTTTGGGACACATTTACTTCAAAACAGTCAGATCTACCTGATCACCATGTGGCCATGAGGGACAGGGATGCAGCCTCACTTCCTCCTCTAAAATACAGGGGTGTGGCTAAATAAGACTCCGCCCACATCCTAAAACTCTTTGTGTTTTGGTATTGACATGAAAACATGGGTCAGCATTTTTTAATATTATTTTTATGATTATTATTAATCATATTATTTTAAACAAACTCATGATAAATCTCTAATTATTCAATGTCACTTTAAAATAAATGAAAAACATCCTTAAATTAAAAAAAGAATACAAAAAAATATAAGTGTAATTTTCACAAGCCTAAATTTAGGGGTTAGGGTTTGGGACAGACACCTCCCAACAGAAAATACTCTATAAATAATGATTTTGTATATATTTAGCTTATTACTATCTTTTGCTTATTATTATCTTTATTAATACCTTGGTTTTAAATAGATCATAACATAAACTTTAAAAATATCTAAATATCTTTTAAATTTTGAACTAATTCAGTAGAATGGTCCAGATATGGGTCATTCTCACAAAGTCCACAAATAAGCATCGAACAGATTAAAATATAATAATAATTCAATAGATAAGTTGTAGGTCTATATGGTTCAGCAAAACATTTTATGAGTTCAAAGTTGTTTTGGCTTTTTTAATTAAATAATTTTTTTGCAAACTTTAGTTTGGTAGTTTGCAGTTTCGAATGAAACCCTGGTCCCAATCTCAAATAGCTCCCTACTCTCTATATAGTGCACTATGAGAGTTATGAGACGTTGCATTCTACACCCAAACACTGCACTATTTATCTATTTTTTTTATTTATTTGACATATTATACACTGTTTGGGTGCAGGAGCCTTTATAAGTGTGCTACCCACACAGCAGACAGTTTTGGGCTGATTCCTATGCGAGTGCTGGCTGACTACTAGGCAGAGACAGAATAGGTTCAGGTGCTGGGCAGCTTCATGCAGTTTTGCCTTGTGCCTCTGTCTGTGGGCCAATTCTGGCATAGATGTTGTGGACCAACAATGAGTTGGGCCAGACGCGAGCCACATTCATGAGTTCTACACATTTTACAGCGTGTGGGCCAGATCTGGGCTGAGGACCCAATTATATACTTGGCCAAAACAAAACAAATAAATGCTTTATTCCAGAGAAACTGACTGAATCAGAATTGTTGACAGTGGTGGTGATAGGAACCAGACTGCCGGATGTCTGTGGCATTGTTTTACAGCAGTTTTGTGATAGAATTATTGGTCTAAAATGTATTTTAATCAATTTATTTTAGTCATTTCGTGGTGGAATGATACAGGAAGGGTGTTGTCAGGCAAAATTGTCCCACAAAAAAACTTATTAAACTTATTTTTTTTCAGATTGACCACTCTTCACCATGATCGACAGCACATATAATAACTCAGAAGATATGTGTAGGTTCACTGGTGATTTTGGATAGTAAATAAACTGGCTATTTGCATTGTAGACATAAGGACGTCTGGTTCCTATCACTACCACTGTAAAGAATTCTAAGTTTCTCTACAAATGAACGATTTCACATCAAACCACTTCGAAGGACTTTGTTTATATCTCAACCAGAAATTTTGAAAAATCAGTGGAATTCCCCGTTTAGGACACTGTTAGTCAAACTATCCGCGTTAATATTGGACACTGTGGATAATATTGGACTCAGTGGAATTCCTCGTTTAGGACCCTGTTAGTCAAATTATCCGCGTTAATATTGGACACTGTGTGAATCGAATCGCTCCCTGCCAGCAGATGGCGCAGTGACACGCTGTTACACGCGCACTCAGCTCCATACGCAGAAGAAGAGAGGGGCTGTTGTTATGGGAAGAGGCGAGTGGACAGAAAGGCTTCTAAACTCCGTATTAAAAAAACTGAACAAATGCAGCGCCTACAAACATACAGCACACTTCACTCCGTGACCGGTTTATACCGTCTGGCTTTTGGTAAGTTAATCTTACGGTGAAAACTCGCTGTCAGAGACGAAGCTGAAGTCAGCTTCTTACTCGAATTGTGCCGTTCCACCTTAAATGGTGCAGCAGTTATCGTGGCAGCTATTCTTAGATATTCTTGCGCTTCAGGTGTTATAATAATAACCGCTGCACCATTTAAGGTGGAACGGGACGACAGAGGAGACCTCGAACAGTTGAGCAGTTCACTTCCTATATCAAGCAAGACAACATTTTACTTTCAGAATTACAGCGGTTGGTCTCCTCAATTCCTGAACACTTACAGAGTGATGTTGAAAGAAGAGTTGGTGCAACACAATGGTAAACATGGCCCCGTCCCAGCTTTTTAAAAACGTGTTGCTGACATTGAGTTAAAAATGGACATAAAATATTTCAAAAAAACAATAAAATTTCTAATTTTAAACATTTCATATCTTGTTTTTGTACTATTTTCAATTAAATATAGGGTTTAAATGAATTGCACATCTTTCCATTTAGCTTTTATTTAGATTTTGCACAACATCCCAACTTTTTGGACATAAAGTTCCACCGAGTAACTGCAGTGTACGCAGATAGTACACTAGTAGTAAAATTGTAGTGCGGAACACAGTTTCCAGATGAACAGCACGTCCTTATCGCTTGTGCAGACAAAGTGCTTTTGAAGCTGTAGGAGGTGTTTGTATTCAATGTGGTAACTGTTTAATTACTGCTGTATTTGTCTGAGTGTGAGCTACTGCTAAGACAAATCTGTATGACCAATAAAACAGAAATACATTAAGGAAGTCTGGACTTTTGTGGACAGCCCTGAAGCTGATGACCGCTGGTGGGTGATCTGCTGTCCTGCTCCATCAGAGATAGACATCCAGCAGCTACAATGACGGTCACCATGAAGACAAAGACCTACAAGCTTGTAGTGCACAAGAAGGGCTTTGGAGGGAGTGGTGAGTGACCTGCAGATGCAGTTGTACTGTGCTACTGCATCCACCTGCACCGCAGTGTAGTTCTGTACCTGCTCGAATGCGTTTAATTTAACTGATTGATTGTAGTGGCCCCCTTTATTTGGATAGCTCTTATTTAAGGGCAATTTTGCCATTTCTGCATAAATTCATTCAGAGTGGTTTGGTGCGAAATGCTCCGTTCTAGAGAAACTTACCAAGTCAGGATTGTTCACAGTAGTGGTGATACGTGTCCACCTCTAAAAGCGCCCTCACAGAAAGTTACTACATGCATTAGGTATGAATTAGGAGTAGGAAATATGACGATATTTTATCATTATCATGATAAATTATGTCACAACATGCTTTTCTGAGCATATCGTGGAGATAATCAGTAATTAAAAAACACTGATCAACTGGTTATTTCATTTCACAGTGAGCGTAATTAGCCCTGTTCAATTGGATTTAGTGCAGCTTGTAAAACATTGAATAAAAATAATTGTAAGATTATTATTATCATTATTATACTTTAAATGTGGCACTAAAGGTTCTATTTTGTCTATTTCCACTTCATAAATTTTAGAACTAAATATTGTGATGCATATTGTTTATAAGGATGGTTTTTAAATTGGTTTTAGTGCAGTACAGTGTGTGAAATATTGAAAAAAAATTATTGCTGATGGCTGTTCCTAATCATTGCCATTGCTAGCGCATTACGTCTGTGTGCCAAAATATTGTGCTATGTAATGTGTATCATGATAAAGTCTTTAATTATTGTGTAGTGATATTTTTGCCATATCATCCACCCGTATAATGAATACACTGCCTGATGACTAAGACATTGCTTTATGGTCGTTTTTCAATTGAATAAAGATATTTTTTTAAAAACCTCTTCATTGCAAAGAGATACATACATGGTGTTGAGGCAAAATAGTCCCCAAAGAAACGATGATTTTTTCCAAATTTACTGCTATTTTAAGATTTCAACATTGCATGATTTTGTACTCTTTTCACTTAACAAATAATCTGTTGAAACTCGCTTAGTTCTTGTCAGCATTAGATGCAGAATTAGAGTTTTGGTTTGAGATTAAAACTGAAGCAAAATTTTGAACATTTCTGTATAATTCAGTGGTTGAGATGTAAACAGAATCATTCTGAGTGGTTAGGTGTTACTCAGATTTCTTTACAGTTGTGGTGATATGGAACCAGAGGTCATCCATACACTGCAACACAAAAATAGCCATTTTATTTACTAGACACCAGTGAACCTACACATGTCTTCTGAGTGTTTATATGTAATGTTAATCATGAAAAAATAGTGGTAAACAGTTCACTGCATGTACCTTACCACCATGGATAAAAAATAGGTCAAAATCCTCTCAAAACAGTGGTAAAACAATGTCTCTTGCAATGTATTCATAACCATTTTATGTAATAACTTTCTGTGAGGGAGATTTTAGAGGTGGATGTCTGGTTCCTATCACCATCACTGTAAACAATTCTGACTCAGTAAGATTCTGTAGAACAGAGCATTTTTGAAAAATCTAAAATTCCCATTTAGTATTAGGGTTACAGTTGGAGTGAGTGTTAAGGATAGGATTAAAGAAAAGTAACATGTTGTATATAGATATGTAATTGAAAGCATTACCTTGGTAGAAGAGGACATTAAGCATGTACTCTGCATAGTCAAACTCTTCACAAACTCTGTTGATAAAAAAAATCACATCATTCATTACTTCTCTTGTCTTCCTCAGATGATGAGCTGATGATGAACCCGAAGGTGTTCCCTCAGGTTAAACTGGGTGACATCGTGGAGATCGCACACCCAAACGATGAATACAGGTGAGAGATGAACAATTGCTGTTTTAGGATTACACAGGAAGGTGCAGTTATTTCCGTTGAACTATGTTTTGCTTTGTAATGTATCTTTATTATCAATACTTATTCTTTAGCAAATTTTTTAAATTGAACACAGAGATGAATAGACGGTAAATCTGATTTCTGCACTGTATTTTCTGACCAGTCCTCTCCTGCTGCAAGTGAAAAGTCTGAAAGAGGATCTTCAGAAAGGTACGCTATCTTCTTGGATTCGCTAAGAATGTGATCTAAAAAAAATTTAAGCCTGGTGTCAGTTTTTTTCTGATCGAAATCTAAAGCAGTAAGTCATTTCAGCATTTTTTCATCCTAACTATATTGGTTGTGTTTGTGCTGTAGATATCACATGGCCCCTGAGTAAAGAAAACTAGTTTCTCTAGAACGGAGCATTTCACATTAAACCAATCGGAATGACTTTGTTTACATCTGAACCATTTAATTATACAGATATTTAAAAAACCGTGTAATTCCAAATGACATATTTTGTTGATTTTCTAACTAAAATTAAGTTCACACGTCCTCCACAGAGAACACACTTTTGCATATTTTAATACACAATTACCGTTTATTTGCTGAATAATACAAAACAAATTATGGCACATTTTATATTTTATGCTGTTTTAACGAAGTTCAGCAAATAAACAGTAATTGTACATTAAAGTGTGCAGAAGTGTGACTTTGTAGAGAATGTGTTCATTTACTTTCACTTAGAAAATCAACAAAGCATAACATTTGACTGGGGCATCCAAATTTTTGCAAATGACTGTGAAAAATAATTGCAATCAATAATTGTGTGAAACTTTTTCAGACATCTGATTTATTGGAACTGAGAAAAAAGAACCAGTAGTGCTACATTTTAGAAAAAAAAACTGTTAAAAACTGTGAATACAGTGATTTTTATTTAATATTTGGAATGCTATGTTGCAGTAAATGCGGTTAAACAGGTCTTATTTTGCTCTGTGTTTAATGAAACAGCAGTCAGTCAGTTTACTGACAGTATACACAAAATGTTCAGAAAAGAGTATTGTATTGTATTGTGACAATTTATCACGATAATGATATGTATTGTCCGATTGCCATGACTCATGATAAAATACACAAATATTACATATTTATCCTTCCACCAAGTAATGTAGTTTGTTAACAGTAGACTATAGTTGCCAAGCCGCAAAACAGTGAAAGACTGTTGCTGCATTAGTACAGAGTTCTGATGTGGTGATAATTGTGAGTATTTTTCAGAGGCTTTGAACGTGGCAGATTTTACAAGCAGAACCGTCTGTTTATAAAATGTGTTTTATGTCCTTTTAGAGACAATCAGTGTGGACCAGACTGTCGCTCAGGCCTTCAAACTCAGAGCCTATCAGGATGTCATCATAAACATTGTGGACCCAAAGGTGCTCTAAGCCTACATTTGCTTCAGATTTTTTAAACAAACATAAAAATGCTAGCTTATCACTAGTTTAAATTAGTGTTCTTATTTGTCTTTTTTTGTGCTCTCTGTAACCACTTACTACAGTTCAAATAGAGCTAGCAAACTGACCAGAGTTGCCAGATTGTGCAGGATCCACCATTTAACATTTTAAACTTAAACTAAGTGTTTTATATTAGGAATGTTTTTTTCTTACCTTGTAGTATAAAGATTTTTTAAAGCAAAATAATGGAATTTATGTAATATAATAATAATAATAATAATAATAATAATAATTGTATTATGGTATTCAGTAATAAAAACAGATAGTAATAAAGGCAAGTCATGATAGCCATGATAAAGATAAAAAAACATTCTTTTAGTTGTTAGAATGAAACATCTCCAGGCTTTCTCGTTCTTATAGAGTATTAGAATATTCAAGATAATATTAGATGTAATATTCAAAAATAAAAATGATTCAACAGCCCTAATTCTAATATTCCAAAACCTGTGCACTGCATGGGTCAGCAGGTTTGGATTGATGAATCATAACCCATTTTTAAAGCTCTATTAGCCATAGTTTAATTCACTCTTATGACTTTGCTGGCTGAAACTCAGTAGCGGAAGGGAGCAGCGGCTTCAGTTTTTTACTGAATTGGGATAAAGGCTTTATTTTAGTAGTGAATAATCCCTGTGTCTGTTTATCAGGATGTAACTCTGGATCTAGTAGAACTGACCTTCAAAGACCAGTACATCGGCCGAGGGGACATGTGGAGGCTGAAGAAGAGTCTGGTTGGTCACTTCAAGTATCTGAGTGCAGGCTGGATAACTGTCATTGTAATAGGGAAAAGTTAGAATATTCACTTATTCATTCATGGTCAATACATTTTATTGCTATTACATGATTTTATTGATATATCAGAGCTTAATTACTGCTTGCAGTTTGACTATTTGAATGACTTGCAAAGTCAAAGCAGCCTTTTTAGTTTGTTTTTTGTCTTCAGTAAATTAATAAATAATTACATACACACACACACACACACACACACACAAACACACACACATTATCTATGCTGCTTATCCTTCTGGGTTGCTCGGGTTGCTGGCACCTATCCTAGCAGTCATTGGGTGGACAGGTCACCAGTCCATCGCAGGGCAAAATAAATACAATTTATTTTAATTAATCAATGTTAAATGTATTCATTATTAAGAATCACTTGTAAAACTATCAAAGAGGAACTTACTAAATGTTTTTTGACTTAAATTTGTATCTTACCTTTGATTGGCTTTTTTTTTATTTTCTGTTATTTTATGTTTTCCCTCTCCAGGTGAGCACGTGTGCCTATGTGACTCAGAAAGTGGAGTTTGCTGGAATCAGGTAACATATTCTCTTTCATCATGGACCATCTGGGTTAGTGTATGTATCTCCCGCTCAGTCTCTCCGTTGTCTTCTCTGTCCGCTCCTCAGGGCTCAGGCGAGTGAGCTGTGGGTGAAGGGTGAGAAGGTGACTTGTGGCTACATCAGTGAGGACACGCGGGTGAGAATCTCTTAGCATTTTTTCCTTAAACTTCCTGAATTATATGACTGTTTAATCAGATGGGCCTGTTGTTCAGTTTACTTGTGCACAGTGGGTTTATGTTCGTGATAGTCCAGTCTCATACTATGTAGGTCATATCCAGCATCCAAGTAATTTAGTGTTCAGAATCATATTTGTGACACCATACCCACAGTTTTGTGTGTAAACCTCACATTGATGCATTTTTATGCGTAGAACGTGATTTACCATTTTTTCTTGTGCCTGAGAATGTGCATTTAACTACTATTAAGGCCCGTTTATGCTCATTGTTATGGACAAAGCCTTCTGTCCATACTCTGTGTTCATTTCATCTGTATTTGTGCACATTCTCTGAAAGGTTATAGATATAGACAAAACGGAACAGTACCACCGGAAGCAGTGGGGGCGCAGTGTAGGCAGTAGTTCACAGGAGACACAATGTCATTTTCTCTTATTGGTAATATATTGTATGTGAAAGGAATTCTCCATCCACATGTCACAGACACCACAGTCTACACTGGTGCCTCTTTCTTCTCTTTTGTAGTTGAAGTTACTACGACCTCCTCCACCATCACCATGTTCGTTGTTGTCCGAAACTTTCTCTGAACTGTCCTCTTATGCATGTATGGCTTAACATCCATGCCAATGTAAAGGATGCATAGAAGTATGTGGGGAGTGATGGTTGCATCGTTTGAAATGGATGTTCTTTTTTTCTGTGTATGAAAGTGTTTTTTTAAATATATATATTACGCTGCTGACCATCTCACATCACAGGACTCAAGTTCATGATTTTAGTTCGAAAATCAAACGTTCAAAAATTATCACAAGGCCTCTGATCAATCAGTTTGATCGGAAGGATGAAGATGAACTATTACTGTTAGTTTAACCATGTTTTGAGAAAAGGTAGCTGGCTTAACTGCAACTAGAATGCTTTCAGTGCAGTACAGCTGGCTGTTTTTGTTTTGCATTATAAAATAGCTCTACATTGTGCACATTAAGGCCTGATTCACACAAACTGCGTCTGTGTCGTGTGAACGGCACGGAAAATCATGCTTTTTATTTTGGCACACCTTAAATAGTCAGTCCCAGACGCCACACTGAAGCAGCGCGATATTTAGAAAATAGACCAGGTGTCGATTTGTTTCCATATGCTGCATGCGTCATGCAGCTAAATACACTGACATAAGCCATGAAGGTCTGTGTAAAATTTACAGAAAAATGCATACAAACTTAAAATTGCTTTTTTTAAAATTTAATTTCATTCACGATGAAGTACTAGTGAAACAATTTGTACTGCAGATTTTCCAGTTGGTCTACCAGGCTTGAAACCTTTGCCTAATCACAAGTCAAAATGCTGTTGAACATAATAAATATACTGTGTACATTTATAAATTATATTTTTATTGAGCAGAGTGACTGATTTGACTATTTTTCCATCTGGAAAAGGGAATGTCTGTATATCTTTCTTGCTGCTCCGCTTTTCAGCCCAAACGCTGTATGTATGAAAGGTCAGCGTGTTCGAGCCGTAGCATAAGGTAGCGTGTGTGAATTGGGCTGCTTTGCAAACGTCTGAAAAAAATGCAAATTTTTGTGTGAAATGCTCTGTTCTAGAGAAACTTACTGAGTCAGAATTGCTCACAGTGGAGGTGACAGGAACCAAACATCCACCTCTAAAAGCTCCCTCACAGAAAGTTATTACATGAAATGGTAACAAATATGTTGCACAGTTCCTGAGACATTGTTTTATGATAGTTTTAAGAAGGTTTTGTTCTTAAACATATATATTTCCTAAATCTATTCATGGTGGAGGGCTACATGCTGGACGTTGTGAGTTGTTTTTTTTTGTTGCCTAAAATGTACTTTAAATCTATTCTTGGCGGAGGGGTACATGTAAGGTGTTTTAAGGTGAAAAAGTCCATCATCAAAACAAATTTTCTTCAGATTTACCAATAATTTACCATCATCAACATTCCATATAAAACTCAGAAGACACGTTTAGGTTCACTGGTGGTTTTGGATAGTAAATAAAATGGCTAAATTTGTGTTGTAGTTCCTATCACCACCACTGTAAAGAAATCTCTACAATCAACCAGAGTCTCTACAATCAACCATTTCACACCAAACCACTCTGAATGACTTTTTTGGCATTTCAGTGATTGAATTATGTAGAAATCTTGAAAATTCAGTGGAAATCCCTGTTTAATAAGGGAAAAAGTTTGAGGATTTAAATTTTTGATCATGCGATGTAGCCGATATTGATCCATTAAAATGTACAGATTTTTTTTTAACAAATTGAGACATCTTTCATTGCATAGTGTATTGTATATTACATATATATTGTACTGTATTTTTATTTGTCGTAGCATGTTATTGTGTTCATGATGTTGGGATCTGATGATGATGTGTTTGTTTTTGTGTCTGTCCTGTAGGTGGTGTTCCGCTCCACCTCGGCTATGGTGTACATATTTATCCAAATGAGCTGTGAGATGTGGGACTTTGATATCTACGGTAACTCTACACACACTCTCTTCTCAATCTGTCAGGCTTCTGAGGCTATGTTGGCTTCTGAGTGAGGATTTCTATAGGTTTGCTGTGTACCATTAGTGCAGAGGTGATAAAAGGCTTAAACACTGAAAAGCACACCACACCACACTACAACTCTGTCAAAAAGCTAAAAGCAAAGCATGTTGTCACCTCTTTTAAAAATGTATTATGTATTATATACATAATGTGTTACTATTAGTAGAAATGTGGGGCCGGTGTAATTGACCATCTCTTGTTGCAGTAAATCTGTCAGTTAATTCAGTTTTTTTTGTGTTTTAAAAGGTGATCTTTATTTTGAAAAGGCTGTCAATGGTTTTCTGTCAGACCTGTTTACGAAGTGGAAGGTGAGTATTTTTGTTAATTCGAGAAAGCATGTGTGGCATCAGAGTTGTGTATTAAGATCTGACAGTAGCAATATTAATGATGTTTTTTACATATGTATTCAATATAGGAATAATGATTATACTCTGACTGACTGAAAGTGAGAAAACAATGTTTTTGTCTTGTTTTAGGAGAAGAATTGTAGCCATGAGGTCACAGTGGTGCTGTTCTCACGCACTTTCTATGCTGCTAAGTCACTTGGTCAGTTTTCTGCCCAAAAATTGATTTATCTAAATATTTTACCGAACTTTTTCCTTTTTTCCTTTGCATTTCATTTTGTATTTTTTAGTGATGCACTGTAATGAATATTCTTGGCCAAAACTGAAATTTCAGAAACTGAAAATCCAATTGAGTCCAAAATTGAACAGTTACAAACAGTTACAAACAAATAAGAACAGTTTACATAAAATAAACTCACTAAAATAATCACGGTATGTAGATTTTTTAGTTGTGTGTCGTGTTTGGTTGTCATTTAGGAATTTCTTTCATCATTTTATAAACTGTACAGTTAGCATTAGCATACTAGCAGGGACTTTCCTTTCTGCTTCTGCTGGTATGCTGTATTCTATGTATCGAGTAGGATGTTGTGTTTTCAGGTGCTATTAAACCTATAGTGGAGAAGTTTTTAGGTGTTGTATCCTCTTGATATTTAGAATGAACAGTGATTATAGATCTTGTCTAATGTCCCTCATCGGATCTGTGAAACAGTTCTATATGGAAAATATTTTCACTGTTTGTCTGCTGCTGTTCAAACTGTTTGAATGCATCTGTGCTGACTGCCACATGAGAGCGAAACAAATGACCCTGTTAATCACTATTTGTCATTAAAATTGTTAGATTTCATTGTAGACCTATTAAATTTGTGTTTTTACTTCTGATTTTTTCTTGTAAGGGATGAAAACTGAACTGTTTTTCTCAGTGGTCGAAATGTGAGTTCATCCCAAGTCATTTTCAACTTCTTCCTTTAGATGAGTTTCCTGAGAGTCAGAGAGGCGTGATCAGGCAGGATCATGATGGACGCTTCTTTGAGGATTTCTACAGGTCTGAGGAGATACATTCCTCATTTACCTTTCCTGATTTTCCATGTGTTGCAGTACTGCTGTTGTTGTTTGACTTGTGGTATCGCTGACCTGTGCTGTGTTTTAGAGTGGTGGCTCAGAATGAAAGGAGGGATGAGTGGACGTCTCTGCTGATCACCATTAAAAAACTCTTCATCCAGTACCCTGTGCTTGTGCGCCTCAAAGGAGCAGGTACACACTCACACACCTGCACAGGTCATTCAGTTACTTGTTAACTATGTTAGACATGTAGCTAGGGCTGTGACGATAACCACATTAACACAATACTGAAGTCACGTGATGGAGCAGACTATTTTAAAACTTCATTAAATCAGTTTGTGTACTTCAGTAATCTCCCACTTGGTATTAAGATAACATAATAATTATTATTGTTATTACTATATTATCATTATTATTATTATTATTTTGTTGCTGTTTTTGTAAGAATCATCTTTAGGCTATTCACTTCTCTTTACACCTACTTCTCACAAATCAGCAACCTTAACTGCCTGGTCATCCCTTGGTTGGTCTGAACAAGTCATTTGAATGAGGGAACAAATCTTTCGATTAAATCTACGTACATTTCCATGAAGGAAAAATAGCCTACACCAGGGGTGAACAGCCCCAGTCTTGGAGGGCCAGCGCCCAGTGCACTTTGGTAGTTCCCCTATTCGAACACACCCACTGAACCAGGAAGTTAACAGATGAGTTGAATCAGGTATGTTTGAGCTGTGAAATCACCAAAGCCAGCCCTCCAGAACTGGAGTTGTGCACCCCTGGTGTAGGCTAATAACCATCACAGCCCTTCTTAAAGTGTAAAGCAGAAGAAGCAGCCCTCGAACACTAACCATGATCAATTACGTTTTACGTTAAGTTAAAGGTAAAGGTAAATGTAGTCGTTCACATTCAGCGACAGTTCAAATCTAAAGGATTTTGCTTCATATAAGCACTGTTGCAGTTGTCCATCCCTGCTGGCTGACACTGACCTTTTTTTCTTCTGTTTCACAGACGGCTTTCCCTGTGGTCAGAATTCCACCTCCGCTCAGGGGAATTATCTAGAAGCGATAAACTTGTCATTTAATGGTTTGTGTAATCTGGAGTTTTTCATGAAATTTAAATTAATAAATTTAAATGAATATAAGAAAACTTTTTAACTTTATTTATTTTTTATTTGAATATTTTATGATGAATGGGCCAGTAGACATTTTGTCACATAAAGCTTTCAAATTTTTTTTTTTACTTCCATTAACACATGTTAAGACATTTTTTTCTTCTCGTATTACTGTTTTCTTATGACAGCTACACTGGTCAAATTTTGATAAGTTAGCACGTTCTCTACAGGAAATTTAAATGCAGAATTTCCATTTCTTTGCTGAGTTCAACACATTGGGGAAAAAAAACAAAATATAAAATGTGCCATAACTTTTGCACTGGCCACATTTTGTGTTTTATTTTTTTCTCTCCCAAATATTAAATTCAGCAAATAAACAAAAATTGTGCATTAAATATGCAGATGATTGTTCTCTGTAGAGGATGTGTTCACTTATTTACACTTTTTTTTTACACTTTTAATTTGACCAGGCGTGGCTAAACTTTTGCACATGACTGCATATTTATCTTCTGTGCAGATGTTCTGGGGTATTGCATGTAATCTCGGCCTCCTTTGTGTTGCAGTCTTTGACAAACATTACATCAACCGTAACTTTGATCGCACCGGTCAGATGTCTGTGGTCATCACGCCAGGAGTGGGCGTGTTCGAGGTTGACCGTCTTCTAATGATCCTTACTAAACAGCGCATGATCGACAATGGTGAGTTTAGAGCAAAGTCATTTTACAAGTGTAAAAATGCATTGATCTGAAGGTGACAGTTCAACTGCATCGATTTTGAAATCAGTTATAATCAAGTATAATAACATTTTTTGTTATACTTTTTTGTGGCCATATTGAATTTCTATTTTTAAATATAAAAATATAAAAAGCTTCTGTTGTCTGTAGTTACTATAATACAGACCTGCTGATCTTTATGCATTTTGTGTAGCAGGTACACATTTTGACATCAAGGTACGCTGATATGATTTGTCATTCTATACAAAAAAGCTGGTGACGCCTGTGAGTCCAAGTTGTGCATGTGCAGTACTCAAATCTAACAGCAAGAGCAGCGTCTAGCATTCTGAAAATAAAAGAAGACGAGTTCGACCAATCATGACAAATGCATAATGTCAGTCATTTCAAGAGACTGCAAACGGATAGCAACACAATGTTTTTTATCCCTCCCATTCCTCCCTCCTCACTCTGGCTGCTCCACAAGGGAGGATGGTGCTTTTAACTCCTTTGCAAAGGTAAATAGACCTGCCAACCAAGGAAAACATTCAGCGTTAATAACATTAGCGTAACGTTATGTGATTTGCGAGCTAGCTTGCTTGTTCACCAGGCATTTAAGTTGGCAAAGTAACATTGAACTATATTGTCTGTGTCACAGATTGTTAAACATAACTTTTCACAGTACTGTATTTATAATTATTATAGCAGTCAAAACTGTAATCGTGATGAGAGCAGCAGATCACGGCAGAATGAAAAAAGCGAGGGCAAATGCCTCTGAAATAACGTTAACTAGAAAGTTGCCGGGAGGTGTGTGTGTGCATGTGTATTTTCTCAAAGTTGGCAGGTCTGTATACTTTGTAATGTTTTTGTTAGAATTGTAAGAATATTATCACTGAGTCAAGAGAATAAAAACATTCTAAAATATGGTGCTGCGGTGAGTTGCCTTGTGAAGTCTGAAATGATCATTTAAAAGTCAGAGGCGTCGGGTCAGGAGTTTTTCGCACCACATCACATGTCTTTATGTATTAACTTCACACACACAGACTCAAAAAGAAGGTCCGGCTCACTGTTTAGGTCTCAAACTCAACATCAACATCATACTGATGAAGATATGATGACAATAGTAGATAATTCACTCACATCCTCAGAAAATGCGACCTTCACCAAGTTTTAATTGAGGTCTCTTTGTATTCTCTTTTAATCATCAGATTTATCCACTCAGCTAAAGGAGCCAAAGCATAATGCACTGTACACAGTGTTCTTCTGCATGTTGTGTGCATTTACACGTTTCCACCAAAGAGGTCCCCAAATCCCCAAAACATACATACTGCAGCTTTAATTCGAATTCTGAATCGTAGCAAAATAATCTAATCGAGTCTTGGAGAACATGAGATTTCATCAGTGAATCTTTTCCTACAGTAATTATATTGAATCATAAGGTCAGAGGTTTACAGCCCAGCTCATTTCCTGTGATCAATCAGAACCTTTCTCAGACCATGCTCTGTATGAAACTGATCATTAAATGGCCATTCAGTTTCTCTGTAAACACTCTTAGAGCCGTTTAGCCGCAGCTCATCTTCCTGTTTACTCCCCCTCAGAGCAATATTGTGACGTCTGCAGGTGTTATTATATACAGTGAGGTCCAAAAGTCTGAGATTGCATTAAAAATCTGGAATTCTAAAAAAATTAAACCTGGGAATAAACATAAAATATAAATTTAAAGGAGAATGCTTTCGTGGCTGAATGCAATCAATCACAGCAGTATTCCAACATCTAGTGTAAAACCTTCTCAGAAGAGGCAGCAAAGGGGGACAAACTCACTATTAAAGGGGAATTCCACAAATTTTTCTGTATTTCTGCATAATTCAGTGGTTGAGGTCATTCAGGGTGGTTTGGTGTGCAATGGTTCATTTTAGAGGCTCAGATTTACATATACCCCTCCATCATGAATAGGTCTAAAATACATTTTAGGCAAGAACTTGTCTAAATATTGTAAAACAGTGTCTCAGACATCAGGCAGCATATGCATAACCTTTTCATGCAACTTACTGGGAGTTTCTCTAGAACAAAGTATCTTAACCATGTAATTATGTAGAAAATTTGAAAAATTGATGGAATTCCTTTTTAGGTCCTAAAAGATCAGATGCTCTCAGGTGGATATAATCTGCTCATCAGAGGCTTTGGCATAAACTTGTAGACTCCATGACAACCTGAGTGCAGGCTGTGCTTGAATGCTAACGTGAATTTAGTTAAGCAATCATTATCTGAAGAATTATTGCAATAAACAATATCACATGATCCAAGTTCAGTTATAAAGTACATGAGAGTGTTGCAGAGCTTTATTCTGTGGCTCACATTTCCTACAATGGTAATATATTTACTATATATTTATCATCTGTATTAGCTAATATTACATAATAATTTGTAATGACAGGGACGGTCAGTAACAGTTTCAGCATCCAGTAATTTTCCGCATTCATTTGGTTGGAAACCAGAATAATACCAAACTGGCACCCTTGTTCCGGACAAGCTCATCCATTTAATTTCTATTGTCTGTCCTACTCTAATGTAACAGAGTTTTTGTTTCATTCTTTGCCAAATTGGAAATCTGTGTTACAATATTGTCAAGTGGTGTTCAAAGTATGTATAAATGTAGTTACTTAGTGATGTTCTGTTTGTAATATGTGTACAAACTGATTAAGTTAAATCTATTGTGTTGTATGTATTTTTTACTAACCATCGATTTGAATGATTGTATTATTTGCATAATATCAGTGCTTATTTAAATGATCATGATATTAGATCATATAAATTATTGTTAAATACTAAATATGTGAGACATACTAAATACTAAGAAATTCTGAAATGCATGTAAATACTTCAAAGATTGTACTTTTAATCTCAAACTGTTATGCTTATAGCATAAATTGTAATGAAAAACTTTGTATTTATTTACAAAAGGCAAAATCACGAACATTTTCACTAGTGGTTTCACACTTTTGGACCCCATTGTGATGGTCAGTGTCTCTCTTGGTGGTCTGTGTGTTGCTGAATGGTGTGTTTTTGATTGACAGGTATTGGTGTAGATCTGGTGTGTATGGGCGAGCAGCCCCTCCATGCTGTTCCTCTGTTTAAGGTTTGTAGCCAAATGACATTCATCACACATGCAGCATTCTGCACAGTCTGTGAGAACCCTTCAGATTCTGATATCCCAATAATGTGATGAAAGTTTTGGAAAAGAATTTTGCAATGTGATCAAAACAAAACAAAAAAAACATTTTTAGGGCTGTCAACTGGTTACAGCAATTAAAATACAATCAGTGTAATTATTTTGGATAATTAATCACGATTATTCACTAATTTTCTGAGAAGCATTTAGTTTAGTGAATTTAGTTATGGCTTCTTCAAATTCATCATATTTATAACCTTCAGTAGTTCAGTAACATTATTGTTGTGGTGTGAACAGAGAACCTGAACATGAAAATCATGTGCTTTCCACAGACGTAACACAATTTTCAGCAATAAGTGACAGTGGCTGCATGCTCTAACCAATCAGTGTTTATATCATATAGATCAAATGTATCCAATCTTATCCGCAATGGGCTGGAATGGTTGCAGGTATTTGTTGCAACAAAACAGGAGCACACTTGATAAGTTGTTTGAAGACTGAGACTGACTGTTTAAACAAGTGGAAACAGGCATGCTCTGCTTGTTTGGAACGAAAACCTGCACCCACACCGGCACTTTGCAGACAAAAGTGGACACCCCCAATATATACAGTCAGTAGTTCAGCTCCACCGTGATTGTAGCCTCTCACTCTTGTTCATACAGCTTGTGGATTTTGGTGACAGTGGAGGCTCTTGAGCGGAACTGGAGCTCCACCAAGCTTTTGCTTTTGTTAGTTTGCTGCTCATTGATTTATCCATAGTTCTTCCACGAGTACTGTCCAGTGTAATCTGCTGAAGGTGCTGAAGGTATTGCTTTCTAAAAGGCATTTAAAAGTTGTATTTGAATGAGAGAGCTACAGTCACATATTCTATCAGAGCAACATACAGTGTGCTGCAGCTGGGCCTCAGTCTGCTCTACTACAGGTGGTTCAAAGGGTTCAACCAGGAAAATGTTTTAAAGCTGTTAACAAAAATGAGTTCCGTTAATAGTTTCCAGCATTAATGCATTATTAACTCATTAACTTTGACGACTTTGGCAAGTGGCTCACTCACTCACTCATGTTTAGCAGTCCGAAGGTTCTCCAAAAGGAGAATGTCAGTTAATTGAATACTCTTGTGTTTTCTTCATGCTTTTAAAAAATCAACTGTCCCCAGTTTTCCCCCTCACCCCAAATGTAGTCCGTCAGGCAAGATGTCTGAAGTTTGCTTCTTTACACTGCAAAAATGGTATCTTGTCGAGTAAAATTATCTTAAATCTAGTCAATAAATCTAATATTTCTCCTGTTGAGATTGTTGTAAGCTTATTTTAAGATTACTTTAACTTATTTTCCAGCATTTTTTACTTGTTTTAAGTGATTTTATGAAGTAAATTTATCTCGCTATTGGCAGATAATTTTGCTTGTTTTAGGAAATGAGCTTGAAACCAGCCAAATTATCTGCCAATATAGTGAGATAATTTTTCTTGATAAAATTACTTGAAACGTAAAAAATGTCTAGAAATAAGCTTAATAATCTTATAATAAGTGCACAACCATCGTAAAATAAGAAATATTAAATGGCTCAACTAGAATTAAGATAATTTCACTTGACAAGATACTGTTTTTTGCAGAGTAGTTCTTCACTGGAGCTACAAGGTTCATGTAGCTAATAAATAATAGAAGTTTATACCCCGCTGATTAGCACGGTGCTAAGTGCATGCATCAACAAAACATGGATGTTCAGAATTTTTCATGTGATTGTATAAGCACAGACAACATTCAGGCTTTAAGGTAACAGTGTATTTATTGTCAGATAAAAAAGCCACTACGTCCATAAATACGACTCATATACAACAGCTTGTTGTAACATGATCTAACTAAGAGAACCGATAGACAAGTTATAAAGACCAAGAATGTGAACAAAAAGCTGAAACTTCACAATGAGTTTGCCTTTGTTGATTCAAACTTCAGAAACTAAGAGCAAACTTAGCTGCTAACTGCTGTGCATTAAAAAGTTATAGCACATTTTATATTTTGTGTGTTGTTATTTATGAAAATATGTTAAACTAAGCAAACAAAAAAATTGTACACCAAAATTTGCAACAAAAAAAATATTTTTGATTTCTTATTTTTATACATCAGCAGCAACACATGTCATCTGCCCAGGGATGTTTGAATTTTTCCATATGATTTATATAAGCACAGACAAAATTCAGGCTTCAAGTATATAAAAGTACATTTAGGGTAAAATGTGTAAATTAAATTTTTTTGGCCCCACTGTTCCTTTATAGCATCGAAGCAAAAAGTGCTTGAATCTGAGCGTTAAATAAAATGTGTCTGGGCAGAGTTATTGATCCTCTGTTCTGAGAAGTAATCACGTTATACAGTCAAATGGCAGTCACCTGTTTTTAAGTGTTTACATCTGAGCACATCAGTGTGATAATGACAATCAGAAGTAATGTTGCTAAGTGAGCACCGTTTATTTGTTGAAGTTTGATGACATTTATATTCTCCATCTTTTCAGTTACACAACCGAACTGTACCCGGCGACTCCAGACTGGATGACTATAATCTGCCCCACTGGATCAATCACAGGTGAGGCTGCAGAGGGAATGCAGGAAGGTAAATATTTGTTTATTGGTAGACAGTGACTTACGGGAGCAGTGCAGATGGAGAGTGAGATAAGCACTGCTCATTATACCTGCTTCAGTTATCCATTTCTACCTACTGCCCAAATCACGCCATGTCATGATTCCTTTTAAAATGATAGTTCAGCAAAAAAAATAGAACGTACATAATTTCCCCCTAACCTAAATGTAGTCAATCAGCCGAGGCATGTGGTGTCTGAAGTTTTTTTTTAGTTTTGCGCCGAAGCTGTGAGACTAAATAAACTGTAGGTTATAGTTAAGCGAACAAAAGTACAGGCTTTTAGCTTTTGTCTGTGTTTATAGATAACAGTATGTCGTACAGTACCAGAAACCACACAAGCAAGTCTATGAGAGATTACTTAAGGGGACTCCAGCCACAATGGAAAAAATGAACCATGCATGCTTGCCTTCTACAACAGTGCTGCAGTAATCTCTAGAGTGAAATCTTGCAGTTTAAAGCCTAGAAAAACTCTTCTGGTGATGTAACTTGAAGGTTTTAAGGAATATCGTATTTCTGAAGTGAACACACACGTGAATGCCACCACAATGTTGTATTTACTAGTGGGAAACTCTGTGAGCTCTTGAGTTTCTAAGCTTTGGGCATGTCAAACAAAAAAGCAAGGATGGACGCTGATAGTTGTGTTGTAAACTGGTTGTATTTTAGTTTTTCAGCAGCCGCACATGAGCAGACTAAAATCATCCACAAACGAAAATATAAAAATAGGCATGTGTTATGCTTCTTACTGCGTAACGTTACAGCATTAAAACTTTACTTAGATCATAAGCATCCTCTACTTATTACTTTGTCACAGTAATGCTAAATAAAGAGTCTCTCTTAAATGATAGGAAAACAAAAATAAACAAGAAAGGATTATTTCCATAACGTCCATCTTGTTTCCAACCAAAACCACTTAAACACAAATCAAGTTGTACTTCGGAGCTCCAAAGTCGTAAGTAGGAATTTCCAAGGAGGACTTGAAGGTACCATTTAAAGAACTGCTTTTGGGTTGATCTTTGGTGGCTGATTTGATTTTCTTTACTGTTAGGTTGTTGAATATCTTATTGCAGCCATATAACTGTTTATATGACTGAATTACGCGACCCAGCAGAAATGACTAAAATGAGGAGGACAATCTAAAAGCTGATGTTAGCAAAGTAACCTGTCTATCTAGATACTTCAGTTTGGATTATTTTTTCTACTATAAAAGTTAAAAAAAAATTCTCTGTCGTGTCCAAACACAACTTGGTTGTTTTTAGGCTGTCAGTAAAGATGGGTTGACACCACAGGGATTTCCAAAGGTTGTATGATGTATTTGTGTAATGCATGCTGGGTACTGTAGTGATAGAACATTGATTAACAAAAACATAAACAATCTAAAATGCAGAATTCCGTCAAATTGTAACAGATAAGGTATATCATACTGATGCGACACTATACTGCATAGCACAATAAATAACATATTAAGCTGTAATTTTAGACTGGAATGCCATTTTAAGAACTTGACACTTTGATGATTAAGGTATGCTGTTAGCACCATGTTAATTGGTGGGGTATGAGCTTCCATTGCTCGTTAGCTACATTAGCCTCGTAGCTTCAGTGCAAAACTAAATAAGCAAAGTCCAGAAACCAACCATGTCTATGCTGTTTTTACTTTTTAATTTTGTTTGCTTCACTGTATTCCTTATATGGATCTGAGCTTTGTGCTCTGTAGAACCCCGCAGAACTAAAACTGAGTTGAACTTCACAGCTTCTACACGTCGAAGAGTCAGGGCTCATGCAGCTGTTTCACTCCTAGGATCAAACTTGCTGGCCGGAAGGTGAGTTGTCACTTATAATTATTCACTTAGTGCTGTTGAGTGATTGGTGGAGTCCTACAGTAGTACATGCTTGTATGCTTGTATGGGATTACATATATGTGGCATCCTGGGGTAATAAGCACATCTGTTTGAATACATCTGTGCTGACCAGCAGAGTAAAGTAAACAAACAGCGTTTTAGTCACCATTTCTTGTTTGGTTTGGTTTGTTGTTGTTGTTTTTTTTTTGTTTGTTTTTTCTTTTGGCCAAAAACTGAAAGTGGCACTTTAATCCATTTTCATTGATTTTGTTAAGTGTTAGATTTTGGCCCTTCATTGAATATTTTGGGTTTTGCTTTGTTTTTATTATTTTTTTTAACCAAAACCTTCAGCCTTTTTTGTCTTTTGGCCAAAAACTGACGCTTTAATCCATTTTTGCCAAAGTTCCTGTGCATCCCTAGTAGCTACAGGTATAAAATGTTATTTTGTATTCACAATATCAGCAACTTTTAGTTTTTTATGGTCATATGACTGCGTGTGTTGTAAAAATCCTGTTTTTCAGAAAATACAAAAAATACAACCCACTAAAAACTGACTGATGCGACATTTTCTCACTGAGAAAACGTGTAAAATTTGATTACATAGTCCCGCTGATAAATTAATTAAATCCATACAGGAGTAAAGAGTAACATGGGGAATAATGGGAACAAATTGAAAAAAAAACCTTATTGGCAGGATGTGCTGAACATATTAATTGGCCAATGCTTTGCAATTTAGTTTTAGATGTTAAACATATCATCGCTGACTCAATGACTCAACAAAATCTTTGTACATTAACTTACATTAAAATATATTAAATATATTATTCTAGAGTTACAAGGTTTTGGTCCATCAGCGATGATGTAGAGATATAATTAAAGAGTTATAATATCGTGTTTTTGTATGTTATGGTGTATGAAGTGAACATCTCTTGTGTTTCAATGACATTATGTGTATTAAATTCATTTATTATTGTTAATTTAATAAAAACTACTTTAATTTCAGCTCATATGGAATAGGAATTCAGCTTTGATTATTTTTTTTGTCAAAATCATTTAACCCTTGTGTGGTGTTCATGTTTTTGTTGCTCAGTGGTCTGGTGGACCATTATTGTTTTAATTAATAACCATAAGAATTTATGTAAAAGTACCAGATGTTTAAAATATCACAAGTGGCCAGCGTAGGGTTCTCCTTTTGCAGCTGTAGCCAGTCAGCAGCCTGTCCATGTTTTCCACCCTCACACACATGCACACATATACAAACACATTCACACACAGACACACACACACTAACGGCAGGCCATGTAGGAGGAGAACAGAGTGAAGGGACACAGCACCTCCACACTTTTATTCCCTGTGGGTTCACCACAACACCACATGTGTAATATAAATGTGTAGGGGATGTACAGTGTGAAGTCATTGAAAATGTGTTATTTTATATGTTCTTCACAGAAAATGATCAAAGGCCAAGGAATCTGAGGTTGAAATACTAATAAATCGCTTCATTTTTTATTTTGATAAACATTGAGAATGGGTCCCACAGATCCCAACACTATACGAGGGTTAACACTCACTGGAAAGTGTGTTGATAAACATTGATGTTTGTTGTTTTTTTATTTTGAAATAATGCTGTTACCTATCTTGTCATATATTCCAAGCTTCATGCTGAGAAATCCAAGAGCAGCAAAGATCACTGTAAGTTATTCTATGAACATGGTTTATGTCTGTTTTGTTTTTGTAATGCTTTAGATGGGTTTTTCAGTAGTTTAACTTGTATTTGTTTGCTTTTTTAAAAATTTTTTAAAGCTCTTGGGGCTCCGAAGGACTCAGAAAACAGTCTGCCCATCCAGGTGGACTATGATGCCCACGATGCTCAGGTCTTCAGACTTCCAGGACCTTCTAGAGCCCAGAGGAGCACAAACTTTAGGTTAGCATACAAAATCATGCAATCATTTTATCAATACAGACTATATACAGCCTGAAACAGACTGAAAGTGAAAGCTTTAGTTAGTAACATCAGCTGAATCTTTTTGTGGGTGCAATAATAATAATAATAATATTATTATACCGCACCTTAAAACTAAGTTTGCTGTGTAATTACAGGAAGAGTAAAAGGAAAAAATGAGACACAATGTAAAGACACTGTATTTAGTAAAGATCCATCAAGTTAAAATCAATGTAGAATAAACAGAATACAAAAATAATGAATTAAAAAAGTGTAAATTAAAATAAAAAAAATTTAACATAATAAAAGAAAATGCTCTGATTCTTTAAAAACCAACCAAATTTCTGTATGTTTTTAAATTACATCTATATACAGTTTAGATTTTGTGAGTGTTGTTTTGCACTGTGCTGTTTCAGGTCAAGCAGGGACAGAGAGGCCAGTAGGAAGAGTTGGGGTCCGGCAGAGTTGAGCATTGGCGTGGGGGGCTGTTCTCCTCCTGTGCGTCTAGCAGGGGGCCCCGATGAGCAGCGCAGTCTGGCATCTGATGACAGCCTGGGACACATCTCCAACATCCTGCTGATCCCGCGGCAGGTGCACGGCCAGTACGAGGTCAGCAGCTCGCTTGGATACACCAGCTGCACCAGAGGTATGTCTCCACATCGACCTACCGAGTGTAAACTAGGGCTGAATTGATGTTTTGATAACCAGTATCAACTGATATGAAGGTCCCACAAATTTAGCAACATCAGGAAAAATTCCACTGATAAAACAATGAGTGTTAATGCCTTGTTTTGTATTCCAACACTGATGTGAAGAAAACCAGTAATGTACAGACTGCTAGTGTTTCCCCACAGATTTGAAGTCTACTTTGGTGCTGAGGCGAGGAGAGACACCGACTCTAATGCATAAATAATTAATAAAATGAATGATAATGATTGCACTTGGTTATTAAAAATACATACACATATGAATCACAGCAAGACTTTTTATATTTACAGGCTTGTCTATATACATAAACTCACCAATTACTTTATTAGGAACACTATACTAATACTGGTTAGGGCCACTCCTTGATCTCAAAACAGCCTCAATTCTTCTTGGCATGGATTCCACAAGATGTTGGAAACTTGCCTTTGAGATTCTGGTCCATGTTGACATGATTGCATCATGCAATTCCTACAGATTTTTAGGTGCACTTTCGTGCTGCAAATCTTCTGTTCTTCCACATCTCAGACTTGTTCTATTAGATTAGATCCGGTGACTGGGGAGGCCACTGAAGACCAAATTCATTATAACGTTCATGAAACCAGTTTGAGATGACTTTTGCTTTGTGACATGATGCGTTATCATGCTGGAATTAGCCATTAGAAGATGATAAATTGTGGCCATGAAGGGATGCACAAGATTAGCAACAATACTCAAATAGGTATTCAAGTGATGATTGATTTGGTATTAATGGACCCAGAGTGTGCCAAGAAAACATTCCCCACACCATTACACCACCTCCACCAGCCTGGACTGTTGACACAACGCAGGTTGGGTCCGTGTATTCCTGCTGTTGGCACCAAATTCTGACCTTACCATCAGTGTGGCTCAGCAGAAATCGAGATTCATCAGACCAGGCTACGTTTTTTCACTCTTTAACTGTTCAGGTTTGCTGAGCCTGTGCCCACTGCAGCCTCAGCTTTCTGTTCTCAGCTAGCAGAAGTGGAACCCGACGTGGTCTTCTGCTATTGTAGTCCATGCTCCTCAAGGTTCAATGTGTTGTACGTTATGAGATGCTTTTCTGTTTACCACAATACAGAGTAGTTATCTCAGTTAACGTAGCCTTTCTGTCAGCTCGAACCAGTCTGGCCGTTCTCTGCTGATCTCTCTAATGAAAATGATGGTGTATCCGTCCACAGAACTGGATGCTTTTTCTTTATTGCACCATTCTGAGTAAACTCTTGTTCACACTGTTTCACACTGTTTTGTGTGAAAATCCCAGGAGATCAATAGTTATAAACGATAATCATGCAATGCACACTGAGATCCCATTTTTTCCCCCATTCTGATGGTAGATGTGGACATTATCTGAAGCTGCTGGCCTGTATCTGCATGATTGTATGCACTGTTCTGCTGCCACACAATTGGCTGATTAGATAATAGCTTGAATGAGTAGGTGTACAGGTGTTCCTAATAAAGTGCATGTTGAGTGTATTTAAATGGATGGTCTGACCTGCTGCCTGCCTCAGTTTTAACCTGGCATCTTCGTTAGTACTGCAGAAGATAATGATTTAGATCAGTTTCTGAGCGTTTTTGTTCTGCTATGTCACACTACAGCTCTACTAGCCATTTTCATACGCTCTGACAGGAAAATAACAGTGGACTGAAGTGTTTGTTCTGGTGACATTTCAGCGAGGTGTGTCTAACTCAATGACTGCAAAGCACTACTCTGTGAATTTGCACACATTAAGGTAACTGAGCTACAAGTCTGTTCTCTTCCTCACGTGGCTTTGTGTTAAAATATTTCTCAATATGAATCTATTAAGTAAATATTAGATGAATCACTCATGCAACTACAGCTAGCAATTCTTTAAAATTAAGAGAAAGCAAATGCAGCCAGAACAACTTTGCTAGTTACATGTATCAGGTACACACTTCTTCAGGACTTTTTAATTAAAGAAAATGGTTGTATATGGAACCATGAACACTCAAAAAACCCTTTGCATGATTAAAGGGGTCTTTGCATGGTGAAGAGGTTCTTCAGATTGATGGAGAATTTATTGTAGATGTATTATCTGAGAACCCTTGAAGAACCATACATTTTAAGTGTGTAGCTAACTATTTCGCAACTGCTGCTTATTCTGCTGTCTTCTTCACTCTGTCTCACTCTCCCACTCCAACTTGAGCTGTGTTCACGTTGTGGTCAAAATAAAAGCATGTTGTTTTCCTGAAATATTCATTTAAATGTTTAGCAGTAAGGGATTGTCTGTATACCATGGCTCATCTATCTGTGGGAAAAAATATTGGGAATAAAGCCAAAGTCCAAACCTTTCAGATGTTTAGAACACCTTTGACCGAAAAGAGTTTCAGTATGAGCTTTTAACAATAGTTTGGACAAAATAGTTATAATGGTTTAGAAAACCTGCTTTTCATAACAAGACACTTGAACATAAAGCTGGAAGTAAAAGAATCATAAATCTAGTCAATGTCTAATATTTCTCATAATGAGATTGTTATGAGAATACCACAAGATTATTGAATCTATTTCTAGAACATTTTTACTCGTTTAATATTTTTTTGTTAGTTGTGTTATTCCCTTGGCAAATATCTTTGCTTTATTTTGAGAAAGAGCCTACCACTCTCATTCCATACTGCAGATATAGAAAACATATAAAAACAATGTCCGCCATAAAACAAGCACACATAAATGGTGGCTAGATACTAGCACTCAAATTATTTTGAATTATTTTGAAACAGTCGCAGTTCCAATCCTAACAATCCTAAAATCTGGGTGTGCTGCAGCCCCCTCAACAACCCAAAACAACAAACCCTACCCTGGATGTCTTTAGACTTTTGCCCTGCAGTGTAAATGTGCTTTCAGTGCTGTTGGCTAATTTCTGTGATGTGTCTTGTCTGCATTAGAGTTGTTGGAGAGGATGGTGGGGTCTCAGAGGGACTCCAGCGCTCCAGGCCGGTTTACTGTGGGCAGTGCTGAGTCCACCCTGCATGTCCGGCCCGGGGGATACACGCCTCAGAGAGCCCTCATTAACCCCTTTGCTCCGTCGCGCATGCCCATGAAGCTCACCTCCAACCGCAGACGCTGGATGCACACTTTCCCCGTGGGTGAGTTGCAGAGGCCACAACAAGCTCCAAAATCTCAACGACACATCCACAGAGCTGTGCGTCAAGTGAACGCTGATTGGCTGTCTGGTAATGCTGAGGGCAGTATGAGACCCAAGCAATACTCAATCTGAACCAGAACTAGCTCAAAATCAAATGGAGCAGTTTGAGGATCGGCTAACACATAAAGTGCGATGTTACAAACATTTACATCTACCTTCAGTATATTACAAAAAACAGTGATGTGAGCATTTATTCTTGGTCATCTCTTTGTTTTCTTTGAATTTGTCTTTGGACTCTGTCCACTAGTGTTCATGTTCACATTATGCTCAAACATGTTGGCAGATGCTTTAAGAACATCGCCTGCACTTGTTCACAGTAGTGTAACAGTAGAAGTGTATTTCAGTCTTCAGCCTGCACAGTAGTCATGAAGAAGAAACAAAGGCAAACACATTTAGGGTTAGGGCTGTGTGAAAAAGCATATTTTTATTTTTGTGATATGAATTTCCACAATTAACACATAGATAGACAGAACGTAGAAAGATCAAGTTACCTTACACACAGTGGCATTATGCATCCCTGCTCTGAGAACTACTGAACTACCATCCTGTAAAAATTGCTTAAAAAAATGACTATTCTCATTCTGTGTTAAGTGTCAAATCCATAGAATGTATGGTAAAATGTATGAAGCGTTAATGGCTATGATTGTGTATAAAACCTGCATCGTCATGGGGAGCGTCTATATATGGCTGTATACTTCTATATACATAGAAATTTAGATGTCTTTTAACAAAACACAAAAAAGTCTGGTCAGAGCCCCAAAAATGAACAAAAATTTATCACTTCTCACATCATTGTGATATCCAATGGCTTTATCAAACATCACATTTTATGTCTATGTCATGCAGCCCTATTAAAGCTAAAGCTGTCTGTTACAGAGAAATAAACACGCTTAAATCTGTCAATAAATGGTTGTGTAGGGTCCTAAAATTTGTGCATCCTAACTCAGTTTTGGTGTGTCAGGTCCCTCTGGTGAGGCGATTCAGATCCACCATCAGACACGGCAGAACATGGCCGAACTGCAAGGCAGCGAGCAGAGAGACCCCGCCCACACCTCCGCCGAGCTACTGGAACTGGCCTATCACGAGGCCACTGGAAGGTTAGACACACATGCTACATATCCAGTAGTATCAGAGAGCCTCCTTCAGGAGGAGACGGCAATCCTTGGTGCACAAAGTGTAATGTGGTGCGAGCAGGGAAACCAGAGGCTCTGAGTGAGTGAATGAGAGTAAATGGAGGAAGTACCTGATCTATTGCATGTCCATTTTTAAAGAGCTATGTCTTCATAACTTCAGCGACAATCTAAACAATGTATGAACCTCAGAGATTTAGCTTTGTTAGCCAGAGTGGCCTTGTTCATGTCAAATCCACTTATGCTGAATTGCGGATAGCAATTTTATTGTTTTATATAAAAAAAATTAGCTGAAGCATTAAATAACTGATGAGCCAGCAAACATCCTAACTGTGCTTTTTTCCTGTTAATTCAATGATAAAATGATAAAAGACATGTTCTTGTTACATAACAAGTTGTAGCAAAAATGATCAGAAGTAGTAACCCAGAAAAATGTCAAATGCTAATACGTTTAGCTACAGCAGCACTACAAACACTCCATTGCGGCGCAAGTAAAAGCAGAACTAAACGACTATATTTTGTAACCATTAGTATTTCAGTGTATTGTAATAGCAGCAATAAGTAATGGTTTTTTGGGACAATTTTTTGTGAAGTTCTAATGGTAACTAACGTGACCTGTTTTGCCGTTGCTGAAGAGAACTATCCGAACACTTGGAAGAGCTTCACTGATGTCAAGGTGTGATGTGACTGGTTCAGAACTTACAAGGCCTGATTTGATTGACCAAGCCAGGTGTTATGCTTTTCCCTAGTGTCAGACAGTGGAGGAGGGTTGCCTTCTCCTTTTATGTTAGGAAATCTCTGAAAGTGTCCATACAGCCCTTCTAATGAGTGAATTCAGCTATTTCAAGGTCATCCTTTGCTGACACATTTAGAATCTCCGTAGAAAAACATTGCTGATAGAATAGGACACTCTGGAGCAGCCAAACATGAGCCTCAATGCCCAATTCCAGGCATCAGCTAGAGGTGTATAAAGCCTCTCAGCATTGGGCCGTGGAGCAGTGGAACTTAGTGGACATATAGTTTAGCAGCTTATTGGAAGTCCCCACACTGGACTGTCACTTGTTGCAGGGAAGGAAGGGGAAAAACAAGCCAAGCTTAACTGCAGTAACAGCTGCTGAAATTGGACCGTGTACATTAGCAGAAGGATTAAGCATCCTCAAGGGTGCCCACTGAAGAGCTTTTTAATGCAGGGTTTAGTGTGTGAACTAGGCTCAGGTGGTCAGTCCATTGTTCTGAGAACACCAGCATCTTCATTGTTTGATGTGTCTCCTTTTCTCAGTAAGAGCTTCTAGACAGCTATACATCCTTTCAGACCATTAGCACTGAGTTGTCTTCTCACAGGGGATGGATGGACAGAAACACCTATGGATGTTTTCTGGTCTGAAGCAGCTTAATTTTCTCCTCTCTCTCAAAGATGAAAGCTTTAAGTGCTGTTTATCTGATGGGGCAGTTTTATTACCAGGTCTTGCAGGGTTGTTAGGAGTCTCATTTGTTAATATTTTTACTTATTTGCAGTTGATGTTGTCCTTCCATGTGCAAGTGTTTCTGTTAACCTCAGACAAATCTCCTGACAAAAAGATATTATGGACATAATTGCTTTTTTGACTGGAAATTAAATAAATGAAGGGTGGTCTCTGACTTTAGCACAGTACTGTAACACATTGGTCAATGGGATGTTGAATCCAGAACATAGTAGTTTGTGCTTTAAGAGTTTAAGAAATGAACAATTAATTCTGTGTGAATATGTGTTGAAGGAGATCAGTCTCTCGTCAGACTGGAGAGAATGGGCTGTACATCACTGGAGGGAATGATGATTGTTCTGGTAGTCCAGCCAGCAGCAATAGCACAGGTACAGTACACTTTCTCCATGCAGGTACACTAACCGCACAGCTTCATTTAATCACCCAAATACATTAATTACACAGATAAGTTAATCACACAGATACACCAGACCTGCTTCACACAGGTCCATTAATCACACATGTACAGGACATCTTCATTACACAGGTACATTAATCACACAGGTACATTATTCATACAGGTGTAGTACAACTGCACCACTCAGGTACATCAATCATACAGATACATTAAAAACACATGTAGACTACACTTGCATTACAAAGGTACACTAATTACACCAGTACACTACATCTGCATCACACAGGTAATTTAATCACACAGATGCAGTGCACCTGCATCACACAGGTACATTAATCACACAGGTACAGAACACCTGTGTCAGGGAGTTTCTATGATATGTTTAAATCTAAATCTATGTGGATTAGTAACACAAACATTTATAAACTTTATTTTTTGAGCGTTACAGATGAAGTAATGATGAATAGTGAATTTATGATGTAGTAATGAAGTAAAATGCAGACATTTTAATACAGTAGCATCACTTAAATGTGCTACAGTTCCAGAGTACAATAAATATGTCATCAAAAACTTATTTGAAATATCAGTCAAATGTAAACATCTTTCCCATGCCGATATTTTTGTCTGCCGATACAGCTTTGATTTCATTATCTCTGTGCATCCTTGGTTTAAAATAAGAGATACCTTTGAGCTGGAAATTGTGAGGATATGACAATATCTTAATGAATATCTTTGCAGGTACACCAGTTAACCGCGGCTCTTTTGAAGAGTACTCCAGCAGCCCAGACCCAAGTGAGTGCCATTTTGATGTATACATGTATATATGTATGTATGTATGTATGTCTGTATGTATGTGTGTATGCATATATATATATATATATATATATATATAAACACACAGCCCCATTTTCAAAAAGTTAAGGTGCTGTGGAAAATGTAAATAAAACAAAACAAAATGCAATGATGTGCAAATCATTTAAACCCTATATTTTATTCAAAATGCTTCAAAGAAAACAAATCAAATGTTGAAACATGCCAGCAGCACGTTCCAAAAAAAGTTGGGATGGGGCAACAAAAGGCTGGTAAAGTTGTGTAATGCTTAAAAAACACCTGGTGGTTAATTGGCAACATGATTGGGTAAAAAAAGCATCCCAGAGAGTCTTTCAGAAGTTAAGATGAGGAGGGGTTGACCACTCTGTGAAAGACTGCACGATCAAATAGTGCAACAATTTAAGAATAACGTTTTTCAACATAAAATAGCAAAGAACTTTTGCTTTTAATCATCTCCAGTACATAATATCATTAAAAGATTCAGAGAATCTGGAGAAATCTCTGTATGCAAGAGACAAGGCCAAAAAACAGTATTTGCTGGCCAAGATCTTTGGGCCTTCAGATGGCACTGCATTAAAACAGACATGATTCTGTAGTGGAATAAAACGGATATGATTCTGTAGTGGAATAAAACGGATATTATTCTGTAGTGGAAAAACCACTGAAAACCGGTTAACGAACGCTTACAGAGTGCTGTTAAAAGAAGAGGTGATGAAACACAGTGGTAAACATGCACCCGCCCCAACTTTTTTGGAACTTGCTGTTAGCCTCAAATTCAAAATGGGCACTTTTTTCAAAAAAACAATACAATTTCTCAGTTTCAACATTTGATTTGTTTTCAACGAAATACAGGGTTTAAATGATTTGCACATCATTGAATTTCATTTTCTTAGTCGCACAGTGTCGCAATTGTTTTTTAAATTGGGTTGCGTGTATGTAAATAAATATATATATATATATATAAAAGAAACGTGTTTACCTGAAATACTGAAATAAAGTAAGTTAGTTATTCGCAGTGTTGGTGTAGAGATGCACTGAAACGATGTTCTGGGGGAGCAGAGTGTGTGTATGATCTTTTGGAACTTCCTTCATCTGCCCTTGTCAACACTTCCAGCGTCCTCTCAGGCCTCTGATTACAGACAGCTATTCCCCATCTTGGGTGTTTGAGTGGGAACTACTCTTCCTTTTTTGTCCAGAAGGTACTAGATGGTTCTTGTATGGTTCTTCAGGAACCTTTGACAAGTTTCCCTGGCATTCTTGGTGGAGTCTGGGGTGAAAGTTTGATGAGTAAAAGTTACCCCCCCTCAAGATTAGATCTGTCGCTGTTGGTTCTCCCTGTCCTTTAGTCTTCTTATTGGGATTTTCCACTCTTTCTAGCCATTTAAGAAATCTTTTTAAGCGTCCAATTTCTTTAAGCACTTTTTCTAACAGGGAAAAATCCACCTCAGATCACCAGGTTTTGAGAAAGAAATTCTTGACTGATCACCTTAGAATTGCCTTTATACTTTCAGGAAATAATGTACAAAATTTTAAGCTTGTATCTTCATCTCTTTTGGAGATGCAGAGACTTTTAAAAGTGGGCGTCACCTTAATATCTGCCTCAAAATGAGTGCCTCGGAAAAGCTTTGATTAATCATTACTTTAGCGCTTTTGATGCTAGAAGCATGAACTTTTCAGGGGTTAATTATGATGTGTTTTTACTAACAGAACAGAAACAGAGATGTTCACCGTTTAATGGCTTGATTAAAATCCTTAGGGTAAATATATACGGTCATATGTAAATGTTTGTCTTATATTAATAAACGTTTCAGCCATTGAGATCATTAAAGTATATCATTAAAAATAACTTTTTAAAATTAACAACTGTGTTAAACATGAATTTGGTGTGTTGAGGCCAATTGCATTTATTCAAGTGTCACATACCCCACATTATACAAAAGACAGAAATGTATCTTTTAAATGTATGAAGCAAACCTGAGATGGTCAGTCGAGACGCCTTGGGTGATTTCAGATGGATTGACCCTCACTTTTTTATATTTCACTCTCACTGCCCCAATATTTCTTTAAGATCGCAAGTTAATCTCCATTTAATCACCAGTTAATTACCCCGCTCAGTTTCTCCACTCACAGATCACTGCACTGTTCTGCATGATGTACGAGGACCATATTTTTGATCTCTGGTGTGTGTGTGTGCGTGTGTGTGTGTAATTCACTTGTGTTTACTGCACCCTGTAACACACAGATTTCCCTCTAATCCCCAAAGGACTGCATGATTAATTGAGCACGCTATAGACTGCACTAGCATCAACAGCAGCAGCATCAGATACAATGAAGACAATGACAGTAACGCTCTCCTTTTTCTCTTCCTGCTCTCTCTCTCTGTTTCTGTCTCTCTCTCTTTTCTTGTCTTGTTTCTTTGTGTTATTCTCCCTCTCTGATGAACCTGTTCCTCTTGTGTGTGGTCTGATCTTTCTCTCTCTCTTTTTTTAATTCTGACCTCCTCCTCTTTCTTTCCCCTTCTTTGCTCTTTTCCTGCCTGTTGGGCATTATGTGTGAATGGGATTTATGTACACGGTTTGTTGGGGGTTGTGTGTGTGTGTGGGCAATGGGGCATTGTGTGGATGTGGATGCGTGTGTGGATGCGGGTGTGGGTGCGGATGTCTGGGTGCGGGTGTGTGTGGATGTGGATATGTGTGGCTCTGTGTGTGTGGGTGTGGGTGTGTGCCCCTGAAGCCCTGCTGCTGTCTGCACCCCCAACAGTGCCTAGTTTCTGTTGTACGGTCGGGGTGGACTGGAAGTCTCTGACCACACCCGCCTGCCTCCCTCTGACCACCGACTACTTCCCTGACCGTCAGACACTGCAGAACGACTACACAGAGGGCTGCTATGACCTGCTGCCCCACACTGACCTGGAAAGGTATGAACACTGAGGTTTGCATTGGGTAGCAGGAGTCTAGGAGGAGTCAAGTAGTCTGATAGCCACTAGTCAGCTAAAATGTCCACTAGATTGCTAATGTATCCATCAGTCAGCTAGTGATTGACTGATATATCTGCTAGTTAGCTAACATGATACATTAGCCAGCTACTGGACAATAAATCAATTAATAAATAAACTAGTTGATTGAGATTGAGACTACTCAGCTAATATATCCACTAGTTGACTATGTTCAGTAGTCAGCTAATATATATTGCTATTATCAGAAGAAAACCTCAAAATGATAACATTACAGGAGAAGGAAAAAACCTACTTTACTGTTAATGTAAGTCAATGGAACCAGACTTTTTTTTCAAGTAATTTGGGGTTGTTTCTTTTAGTCCATTCATCATGCAATTCAGATACAATGTAAAGGGCAACAGGTCTTTTCAAATTATGACAAAAACTGGAAAACATCAAAAATGGAGATAAAAAGTTTTCTTCCGACAATAGCAATATACATTAGTTAATATTAGTATAACCTGGTTGAGTGAGATGTCTACTAGTTAGCTAACCTCTGCAATAGCTCGCCAATAAAACATTAGTCAGTTAACATTAATATTATCCAGTAGTTAGCTAATATATCCTCTAGCCAGATGATAGGAAAAATAAGTTAACTGAGAGTTCCAGTAGTCAGTTGATATATCCACTAATTAGCTAATATATCCACTAGATGACCAATATATGAAGTAGTTTACTAAATACAGCTTAGTTTACTGAGATGTCCACTAGTTAGCTAATTCACTAGCTCACTAATATATCCACTGATCAGCTGATATATCCACTAGTCAGGTCATATTTCCACTGCTCAGCTAGTATATCCACTAGTCAGCTAATATATACAGAAGCTGCCTGAGATGTTTGGTAGTCAGCCGATATGTCCATTAGTTAGTTACCATAATCACACATCACTTATTGACTAGTTGACTAATAAGTTTGCTTGTAGACTAATATATCTGGTAATAGGCCAATATATCCACATGTCTTGTAGTATATGTAGCAGTTGGCTAGTATATTCCTGTTGATTGATATATTCAGTATTCTGCCTTCTAATGTACCATCTAGTCTGCAAATAAATCTGTTAGTCTGCTAATATCTTCTTGGCTGGAAATAAATCCACTATTCAGATAATATGTCCACTAATCAGCTAATACAAGCAAATACACACACTAATATATAGTGTGCTAGTATGTCCAAAGCACTGGTCGGTTAGGAATGCATATAGAAAACAAATTACCTGGGAAATTTGGCCGTAAAACAGCATTCAGCCCTGTTTCTTCCTGCTGTGTACTTTCGTGCACTCACCTGTTTTGCACAATACAAATATTTTAGATTCACTTCAGTTGTTAAATATGGCACCTATTAAAAGTGAACGGAAAAATAATAAGCTATTGTTAATTTACAAAAATAAGTTTACCTAAGCGTCCAAAATATACATGAATACACTGAATTGTGATGTATGCTAAAACCATCAAAAATCTTACTTATACAGTGATAGAATTTTTTGGCCCAATGCCCGCTACTATGACTACTGCTAAGACCATGCAAACACACTGGTTCTTACTTGGTGGGATTTAAAACTGCTTCAGTCTAGTCACAAAGACACACACTTTTTTTTCACACAATACAATACAGTCTCTACAATCCAGTCTTTCATCACTTTGACCTTACAGGACCTGCTGTCCCATTTACAGAGTTTCAGCGTGACTCAGCTGAACAGAGCTCAGCACACATAAAGAAAAACTACCATCTGAAAGCTCTGAACTTTTTCTATATTCCCTCTTTGCTGGTCCCCATTCACTTTGTCCATAGATTTTTGTACATAGATAAAACGCATACAAAAGGTCTTATACACATGAATGCATTATTCATGCTTATATTAGAGGAAGCTTTTTTTCTGTACCAAGAAAAACCCAACAGACAATACAAAACCTTCTGAATGCTGTAAACACTTTCAGTTTTCTCTCCTTTTTTCTTTTTGTGTTGGTTGCTCTGTTACTTTATTTGTATATTCAGAAATAAAAAAAGATGATTTTATACCTATTATACGTACTCAGTGGGGAACCGTGACTGTTACAGCTGTGCCTTTAGTTCAAACCATACATGTCAGAACTCGATAAATGATAAAAAGAAACATCTCTATTTTACTTTCTGCTAGCACCCTTATGGGATTTATAATATGTTATTGCTAAGCTGATGGGGTTAACTTTTTGGACTGTTCTAGAATAAAAAACTGACATTTGAAGCATGTAAAAATATTTCACGTTTTATTTGAAGCTTTTAACAAAAATTAACATATATTTTACCTTGTGTCAGTTTTACAGTGACTCCTCCAGTAAAGAGTCCTGGCATAGAGCTGCTGATACTGTTTTCCATTACTAAGAACTAGCTGGGACATGGTTAGTGTATGACTCGTATTCATAGTCAGTGACATATCTAGAACTTCCAGAGGCCTAAAGTGATGTTATTTCTCTAAAACTGGTCCCACTGTAAATCAAAACATGATGGATTGAAGTGATTCATTTTGATCTGCAATCCCTGAGCAGGTTGATGTCAATATTAAAATAAACAATACTTCTCAAATAGACAAAAATAAAATCACAAGGCAACATTTAAAAAATTCTTTATTACAAAACACATTAAACTAAACCCCTGAAACACAACCACATATAAGACACAGAACAGATAAATGACCAGTTTGCAAAGTGTCTAATGTGTAAGGCCTTTAGTTCAGCTCCTGAAGTCCTAACCAATGGGTTCGCTTGGCTGTATCTATCTAGATAGCACAGAGGAAAAACAAAATCTGATCGTACACTTTTCCATTGGGCATTTCGAGATTTTAGCTTTTATTTCTATAACTTAACAAAGAAATAAGAGTATTACTACAGTACTCATACTGTATAAATACAAGAAGTATGATATTAAATAAAAAAGAATAGGCTTTAGACTTTCTCTAAAGGAGCAGAAGGTTGTGATGGTACATATTATATTACATTATGATACACGTAATACATTTTACATGAATAATTTAGATGTCAGTGTCATACGTGTATTTATCCATGCTTGTATTGAGGGGAAAAAAAAATAAGAAAAAGGATGTTTTACTGCATAGCTACTGTCTGTGTTTTGTGTGTTAGGCGTGATGATGAAGCCCCCATAATGACCGCTCCACGTGTGTTTGAGGAGTTTATCTGTCAGAGGCTGATGCAGGGCTACCAGATCATCGTCCAGCCCAACAGCAGGAAAGCCCCGCCCACTGTGGCCCCGCCTCTTAGCAGCAGCCCGCTCTACTCCAGAGGTAAACCCTATACTTCTACCTTCATACTTCACTGTTGGTGTTCTTATATAGTGATCATATACACGACCTTCTTTCTCCGCACATAAAGAGCTTGCTTAAAATTATAATTATAAATGTGAAGTGGATAAATACACTGAAAGTATATTAAATAACAACAGCAAACGTGTCTGAATTCTTGTTTCCCACTCACTGCAGGTGCACTTTTTAGTTGTACAATTACAGATTGTAGTCCATCTGTTTGCATCATTTGTTGCATCACTCCTTTGCCCCTTTTATGCTGAAAGGGTAGCACTGCAGACACAGACTGACATCTCTCTGTCTCTCTCTCTCTCTTCTCTTCTCTTCTCTGCCCTTCCCTTCGCTGCTCTGCCCCTACCTTCCCTGCCCTGCCCTTCCCTGCCCTTCCCTTCCCTTCCCTTCTCTTCTCTTCTCTTTCTCTCTCTCTCTCGCTCTTAGGGTTGGTGTCTCGGAGGAAGGCAGAGGAAGAGGAGAGCTTGTTTTGGCTCAGTATGGGTCGGACCTTCCATAAAGTCTGCCTGAAGGACAAAATCATCACCGTGACTCGCTACCTGCCCAAGTCAGTATCACAGTAACAAACATGCATGTGGATTTGTTTAGCACAGGGATGCACAAACTTTTTCACGGCCAAAGTACATATTTTGTAGTGGCTTGAGGGACAAAATCAAGTCATTTTCAAATTACACTGCACTTTGTTAGTAATATACTTAAAAAAATCTTCAGAATGAGAATTTAATGAAAATAAGAATAAGATTTTAAGATAAGAGTAATAAGAAGTTGTATGCAGTATAAAATATGTCTGTTCTTTCACTGTGTCCTCACACAGTGAAAGAACAGACATATTTTATACTGCATACAACTTCTTTGTATGCAGTGCCAATATCACTCAGATATTGGCAGGGCAAATCAAATGTCCTCACAGGCCAAAATATTATTTTTTAAAATGTAACAGTAAAAATTAGTTTACAGCCAGTTTTAAGTCAATTTGTCAGCAGCATAACATGTTCACAGCCATTTAATTTAAAGTGGAATTTCACCGATTTTCACAGAGTTCAATCACTGAGATGTAAACAAAGTCATTCAGTTTTAATGTGAAATGATTCATTGTAATTCTTTCACAACTCCTACACACTTAAAAATGGTGGTTCTTCAGGGGTTTTATAGTAAAGAAAATGGTTCTATATAGAACCATGAACACTCAAATAACCCTTTGCATGATTAAAGTGTTCTTTGCATCGTGAAATGGTTCTTCAGGTTGATGAAGAATGTGTTGAATATGATTCTATGTAAAACATTTTTGAAAAGGATTCTGTATAGCACCAAGAAGGGTTCTTCTATTGTTACGATGCCAAGCTTATAATAATAGAAGATCCCTTTCATGATGCAAAGGGTCTTTGAGTGTTGATGGTTATATATAGAACCATTTTCTTTACTAAAGAACCTTTGGAGTAACATCATTTTTAAGCGCGTAACTGACCTGATGATGCTGGTGGTATAAACTGCTGTTGTGAGTACTGTGTATGTGCGTGTTTTTCTGTGTTGTCTGTGTGGCAGGTATCCATACGAGTCCACTCAGATCCAGTACAGCTACAGCCTCTGCCCTCCTCATGCAGAAGGCCATTTCGTCCCCTGCTGGGTGGAGTTCAGTCACGAGCGGCTGGAGGAGTATAAATGGAACTATCTGGATCAGTACATCTGCTCTGCCGGCTCTGAGGACTTCAGGTACACCAGATAACTCATTCTTGCAAAATATTACCAATATTACCAATAAACAATCTTTCTTACACTCTATGACGCATTGTTATCTATAACCATGGACAAATGCCATGCATTATAAAATCTGTTAAATATGGTGCTGATTATTATTTTCTTTTTTTTACCGATCACTCTCCGCAGCCTCATTGACTCGCTGAAGTTCTGGCGGACGCGTTTCCTGCTACTGCCTGCAGGGGGAGCCAGGCGAGTGGCAGACGGCGAAGGCCACTGGGATGTTTACGGTGATGGGCCAGGGGCGGCGCGGGACGGCTCTGGGGCAGCAGGAGACTGGGCTCTGCTGGACGGATTCATCCGCTTCCTGGAGGGACTGAACAGGATCCGCCGACGCCATCGATCCGACCGCATCATCCGGGTGAGTTCGAGGAAAGTCCAGAGAATCTGGAGAATAGAATCAGGGGTGGAAAAAGTACAGAGAAACATCATTCAGAATCAGAATTATCAGGCTTATATCTGGACAAAGATCATCCACAAAAAATGCCGGGGTAAACACACAGATTAAAATGCGCTCAAACCACCGCAGGAGACGCATTTAAGCCAGATGTTAAAGTGTAAATGCATCCGTCTCTTCAAGCCTTATTTAACAACAAAACCCATCCCAATACTGTGACCCTTCCCTTTGCTATTCTGCTTATGGGGGGGGAAACGCCCACGGAACCACCACCAATAAACAGAGGCTGATGAGAGTTTCTCCTTGGAGTTTAATTCAGTAGCCTACTTTGCTGGCCTTTGGTCGAGCTGGTTAGCTAAAGCGCCAGCTTGGTTAACCTTTGTCATTTTTTACCGCCTCACTTCTCCTGCTGGACAGTTATCTGTCAGAAAGAGAAGCTCTCCAGTAAGATAGTCTAAGATATTCTATCAGTCTGACCCTCTGTTTTTATTGTTGTTGTCGTGTTTGTAGAAAGGAGCTGCTATGAAGGGGCTTCAGGTCACAGGGCCTCTCTCTGCTTATTCTCCGGAGCCTATAGCGCCTCCGCTGGGCAAGAAAGGAGCTTCAGCTCTCTCCACCTTGCTGGAGCTTGACCAGACACACAAGTAAGGCTCATCTGAACACAAACATTCACTTCGAAAAGGTGCAGCACAGACATCTCTCCAGGACACACTGTCCACCAAACAGGATAAAATGTTTTATTTACCCTCACACTAACAAAATGTAAGGTGTAAATATGGCAATTTTTTTTGCCCAGTTTTATTATTGTGAATTCCCACGTGTTAGTTAGATCTCCCCCTAGCACACGGTTATACCAAGCTGGGAGCCATCTTTACAAACTGCCACTAACGTAACATCGCTGGAGCCTAATATTAAATATTAAACATTATTATATTACAGTTATTTTTTTCTGTAATCTAAATTGTGTACCCTTGTCAGTCTCAGTATGCTGTTGTAGTACACTAGTGTTGTTCCCAGTTCTATCACACGCTGTAGGTTTTCTATTATGTTATGATATTTACCCACCTGGGAGGGTGAGGTCTATGATGTGAATCATTCTTCAGCTCTCCAATTGACCACAAACTGAAAACATTCTATTTATAATTCCTGTTTCATACCATTTCTTTCTTTCTTTCTAAAACTCTACTCCCGTCCTATCCATTCATCTATCCTCCTCTCTCTCTCTCTCTCTCTCTCTCTCTCTCTCTCTCTCTCTCTCTCTCTCTCTCTCTCTGTCTCTCTCTCTCTCTCTCTCTCTCTCTCTCTCTCTCTCATTTTGTAGATCTCAGGAGGAGCAGATTGCCTCTCAGCATGCGGCAGTGGGGAAAGTAACGGCGCCCTTCAGTGAAGCTGCCTCCGTTGCCGTGGCAACTGCTTACGTAGACAGCCCCCGGAAGGTGAGAGCTCTCAGAAAGACAGGTGGAGAGCGGAAGAGAGAGAACATGGGCTTTTGTGCATGTTTGGTGGGGGTACATGGGGTTCCTTTTCGTCTCCTTGTTTTTGGACAGTTTTGGTTTTGGCTTTTTCTTTTTGAATGATGTTTAGTTTCTATGATTTCAGATTTGTTTTTTTTTTCTGTTTTTTTGCGTGTGCTGGATGCTTTGTTTGCCTCTTGTTTCTAATCCTGATCTTTCTTTGCCCATAAACACTGGTGATTCACAAACGGCCACAGAACTGCACCATCAGCTGCGCTCCAATACACACTAACATTCAGAACTTTGGCACCAGAAAACTGGAACAGTGCTTTTTCCATTGACCTTCGGTCCTGTGCTGAAGGTTTTATAGTTTGTGGTTGCTGCTCAAGATCAGTACCAACAGGACCTAAGCATGTGTTCACTGCTGTCTTTAGTAACACTTACAACTGAAATGACAATTTAGCATTTTTTACTCCTCCACGTGAAGATAAAGTCACCAAGAACTATAACATCCCCAATAAGAGCACCAGAGTGTAAACTAGAATGGTATGTTGATGTATTGACTTCTGTTTTTAGACTTTAAAGAATTTTTTAAGATGGCATAATCTAGTTATGAAGTTAATCCCCCTCCACAGAAGAGTATATTATATTGTTTCATGTCAGCCAGTAAGTTAAGCTGACTGACAAGGTAATCAGCCAAATTAGACACTTTCAAGTGGCATAAAATTAACGAAAAGGAAAATTCTTAATTGCAGTTATCAAGATGTTTCAAGCTGTCTCTCAGCTGGTGGAAAATAAACTAGAACCGTAAATTCTTTTGGTTCTCATTTTGGTCAGTTCTTGTGAAAAGTTAATCAGCGAATTATCAGCACACGTAGTACTGTAACACTAAGTGTGTTTACATGCACTCAATAATCTGATCATAATTGGATTTCTGAAGTTATCTGATTATTCAAATGGTCATGTAAACACCATACTCCTAGAAATCTGATTAAGAAATCTCAGTGTATGTAAACTCTTACTCTGATTTCTTTCAGATTTCTGAGTCTGTGCATGTGTGGAACTGTCTGCTGTGTCAGAAATGATCAAGGAGTGTTGTTGCGAGATGCAGCAAAACACTTTTGGAGTGACATTGAAACCGACTACATTCTCGACAAAATGAAGGATTTAAACATTCTTCATCTTCTAGATGATGTATGTTCATATTTTCAGAAGAAAAAAAATTCTGTGGTATGAAGTTTGAGTATTATGTTACGTTTACATCACGTCTTCTTCTGTGCGTTTATTGGCTCGTTGCAGAGCAGAAATCCGATTACTGACTGACTCATGTAAACCCGGAGTTTCACATTATCTGATTACTAAAGTGCATGCAAGTTGATCGGATTACTGACAAAATCTGATTTTTTGCAGTTATCGGATCATTAAGTGTGTGCAAATGCGCTCACTGTTTTTCCACTGCACAATTTAAAACAAAAACTGCCCCGAACAAGAACCAGTGGAACTTACAGTTTTAGTTCTAACCCATTTTCCACCTGCTTGAGAGATAACTGGAACCCTCATAATAACCAATCTAAAGTATCTGATTTAGCTAATTAGCTATATTTTTGGCTAGTTTAACTTACTGGCTGATATGAAACAGTACCGCACTGTTCTGCACTCACTCATAAAAATGTCTACATTTACTCAGACTCATGTGCAGAGTCACACAAAGCTTTTGGTTGAGCTGTGCTGGGAGGAAATAATATAGTGTGCTTTTCTGCTCTCACAAATGCAGAATCAGGTATATTTTTATCTGTCAGAAGTGACAATTAGAGCACAACTCATTCTGCTAAATTGTTGTTGCAACGGTTGTTCTTTTTTTTCCCTGCATAACACTCAGTTTGGAGGGCCATGTAGCCCTAACACTTTGCCCTACAGGGGTCTCAGCAAGAATTTGGACACCTTACCCCAAGGTGTAAACACGCAAAACTGAGGTGTAGGGGAAAGCAGTAGGGGTGAGGGGTGAAACGGGATTGTACTCTTTATTTTTTGCCAGATATTCTTCTCTGTTTATTAGTTTTTGTAGTTGAATTTGTTGTGGGGGGTCGACTCTTGGATTGACTCCATTAATTCCTGTGACTTAAAATGGAGTCAACTCTAAAATTTCTGGAATTGAACTGCCTTAGTACCGATCTTGAGCAGATGCGAAACTCTTAAAGCTGAAACCTTCAGCACTAGATCAGTGGCTATTGGAAAAAGGCACAGTTCCTGTTTTGTTGTACCAAAGGTTCTGATCTTTGTGTAGTAAATCATACAGAAGCTCTGAAGGGTAAGATGGAAAAAAATAAATTGAAAGTGCATTACTGAGTTCCCCTTTTATTTATTTTTTCTCTGCCTGTGTAACATTTTTTGAACAGTATGAGAAATTCAGCTAGCCAGCTTGCTAAGACAAATTAGGGTAATAGCTGTACTGTGGTCTGTGAGCCATTACAGTGTGCTACATACAATAAAGAGACCTTAGCTAACGTTAACCAAATGTGCTGGAACAGCATGAAACTATCATAAACGATCTCCTACTGTCAGACTTAATAAGCTAACGATTTCTTCCAGAGCAGTTATAATCAATGTTTATGGAAAAAAAACATGGAACAGTTTGATTTACCAGTAACTGTAGGATGTCTGGTTCTGAAGTTGGATCTGGACCTGCGTTCTGTTGAACTGATTTGTGGTAAAAGCGGGTATGTCATGCTAATTCCTAGCCAGTTAGCTCCCTAGTGAATTTTTTTCAGCCGCCCTCTGCTGGTGTAACGTGCTGTTAGCTGTTGTTAATACTGCAGGATGAGTGTACAGTGTTTTTTCTCCAAAGCTTTCGATGTCTGAAACTGTACAAGTGATGCTAGAAATATTTTTCAGGCTGTTTTTGGTGTGTTAGTTAAAATAGGTGTAGTGGAGATGTAGTTTTTGTTTTCATTTTGCCCCACAGGGTTTCTGTAGAATCAGGTGTATTAGAGCAGACAAAAGTAAAACACTAAACTGTTCTGTGCTGGAGCCATACAGACAGTGAGCTCAGGATAAATCACTTTCATTCCCTTCCAGCCATGTTCAACCTTCTGGGGTCCTTTCTCTCTTTCTTTCTTTCTTTCTTTTTGTCTCTCGCGCTCTCTGGTCTGGGATCTTTCCCTCTGTATGCTGACAGGATGCTGGCTTCATGTTGGATTTTATTCGTAGCCCTCGCTCCTCCTACCTCTCTCACTCTCAGGTCAGTAATCTCTCTCTCTCCCCCTTCCTTCCTTCCCTTCCATAGCCCCATCCCATTTCTTATTTTACCCCTACCCCATGTTTTCAAGTGTCACTTTGCCCCTTGAAACTGAGTTAGAAGGGGTAGTGCTTGAAATCTTCCCCTATGAAATGGGACCCTCAAGTAAAAAGAACATTACTTCATTAACAGGCTAGTAGCGGTGCTCTGTAGGTGACCCTGCCAGTGATAGCAGAGGAGGGTAAAGTCCAGCCTCAACCTCACTGCTGGTCTTCAGTTAAATTCAGGGCATCATATGCCTTCAAAGAGGGGGGATGTGATAATTATTTATAATCACCCACCCCTGATTCTTGAGTGACATGAAGCTGAACTCAGTTATTCGCCAGCTTTTTGTTCACATTTTCCCATTCCACCTTAAATGGAGCAGCAGTTACATTCTGCTCGTCTCAGGCATCGGAACTGCTGCACTATTTAAGGTGGAACAGGAAGCTAGCTATCTATCAGGACATCAGCATACTAGCGATTTTTTTTTTTTAGCTTGTTATGGAGAAAATGACCTTAATACATTGAAACACATTAAACTTTAAGATAATACAGTAGTTATTGTGATATTTAACAGAGAAAATACTCACATTTTTGGGTTTCTTTAGTCACTTGTGCAGCCATCTTGCCAGTTTTTCTTTTTTTCCTCATAACACTCTGTTTGGATTGTGCCTCTGAAAAACCTCAGTTTGGAGGGTCATGTAGCCCTAACACTTCGCCCTCCCCCTCTATCTTAACAAGAATCAGGACACCCTACCCCTAGACGTGAAGGCACAAACGTGAACGAGGGCTAAGGGCTAAGTGGTAGGGATAAGGGGTGAAATGGGATTGGGCCCATGTGTGCTGTGTGTGCGCGCATGTCTCGTGTCTGTATGTATATGTGTGTGTTTCTGCATGGTCTGGTTTTCACACACAGTAGTGCCCTAAACGTATTAACTGGATTCTCCATGCGTCTGCATTATATGTCCAAAGGTTTATGTACACTTGCTCATCCAGCATTTCTTTTGGAATGAAGAGTATTATTGGGGAGTTTGCCTCCCTTTGCTGCAGTAACAGCCTCTACTCTTCTGGAAAGACTTTACACTAGATATCAAAACATTGCTGTGAGGATTTGATTGCTGTCTGCCACAGGAGCATTAGTGAGATCAGGTACTGATATTTTGGATCACAAATGCCACGCCAGCTCAGGGTTGAAAGATTTGGGGAAGATATCTAATTGCATTCTCTCAGACCAGTGCTGTGGCTGCAACTTAACATGTGACTATTTTGTATAAATTAAGATCCAGACCTGTTTTTTCTGACCAAAAAAGCCAGAATATTAACTTTTTCAGGCTGTAGACTCAAGCGCTAGATGTAGTGAACCTGATGGCCAGTCAATTTTGGTTCTATTTTTGGTTGTGTGGTTGCTTTGGATTGGTTTAACTAATCTATAGACATTTCTGTGCTATTAGGTCAAATATTCCCACTTATTAGCTATAATTAAAATGGCAGCTTTCATATTGTGATTTTCATACAAAAACGATTAATCTTTCAGCCGTAATCATCCCATCACTCCTGAGAACATGGTTTCAAAGCTTCACAGCCCAATGCTGGGGGGCTTTATACCTCTCTAGCCCTTGGCGTTGGGCATGGTGATCTTAGGCTCATGGGAAGCTGCTCCAGAGCATCCCATTCTATTGGTCAATGCTTTGGTTGGAATACTTTTGGACATATAGTGTGTCTATAAAAAACACCTCCCCCCCATTTTATCAGCTCCACTTACCATATAGAAGCACTTTGTAGTTCTACAATTACAGACTGTAGTCCATCTGTTTCTCTGCATTCTTTGTTAGACCCCTTTTACCCTGTTCTTCATGTGTGTGTGTGTGTGTGTGTGTATGTATACATATTTGTATATATTTATATACACACACAATATTTGCTGTCGGAACGAAACCATGAGTCTCAATTTTTGTCGTTTTTCGGTTTTTGACATGGTTTAAAAGTAACAGCTTTACATTGTGTGAAAAAATTCAATGACGTTTTATAAATATGTTTATTAACTTACAGTAAATGTTAAGAAAGTTTTGGAGATACAAGGTATTGTTCTTACAGCAACAGTAAGGGTTTTTGTTCCAAAACAGAATTATATACCACTTTCAAGAATTTTCTTAGGTTTTTTCCTCTATTTTTTTTTTATATTCATATACATACAGTACTGTCCAAAAGCACCTAAGCACATAGTTTACATTTTTATTCTTGGCCATAACTGTGTGTTTGCTTGTAAAAAAACACTGCATATAATTAGAATCAATGCAAATAAAGATAAATTCAGTAAAGTAAAAACAATTTCTTATTTTTTAAATAAAGGTAGTTATCTTGTGGGCTAGTTCGGTTCCAGATTTCTCCTGGACGCCTCCAGCCATCACATTCTCTTTCATCAGCAGCACACTTGATTTAATATAATGGAGCACTGATTTACTAAACCAGGTACTGGATCAAAACTACAAATAATGCAGCGCTTCCTTGAGGAGAGGTTTGCAAATGGTCAAGCCAACACATTAACATGCACAGAATCAGTACTTACTGTATTATTGATGTTTGTATTTATTACAGTATTACTGTTTTTCTGAGGAAATAAGCAGTTACTGCCCAGATAAACAGCTTTTTAATTCTAATTTTCTCAAGTGCCTAAATATTTGCACAGTACTGTATATAAAATCATAAACATATTAACCACATTGACAACATAGCATACCTTTTATTTTTCCCCAAAGTACAGTAGTGCTGAGGTGTGGAAAATGTGGTGTGTGTAGTCAGTGTTGTGATTATTATTGGTGCTTATCCATAACACATCTGCATGTTCCACTTGCGTAGTGAAATAGATGCCCTTTTACACACCTATGTGTTTTCTTGCATGCAAGTAAAATGTGTGTTTTTTGGTACCACACATGTAACATCACATGTTGGTGTAGTGAAAGTATATCTATCTCTCTGATTGACTCCTGAAGATCCCTACTGAGCCTCTGACAGCCAATCCTGCTGATTCTGGGTTAATGGACAAAGGAGGGAACCAACTGGGAACAGCTTGGGGCGGCACAGGCACAGGAGAGGCAGCATCAGGCACTGCTACAGACTCAGGGTAAACAGGGAGAAGGGATCAATAAGGAGAAAATTATAAATACAATTGTATTTTTAGTTACTAGGTTTAATGACTGCTAATAATTGTGAATCTGAATCATTTTTCTGCAGAGGTCAGCAGGGCAGTCTGAGTCTGTCATCCTCCTCCACACTGCTGGAGATCCTGGAGGCCATCAGACACCCAACGTAAGAGTCTTTGTGTTTAGAAGAAACTTTCTCATCACAGCAAATTGTCACACTTCTTTGCAGAGCTGTAGAATATCCAGACTAGCCCTGTATATCCTCCTTATGATAGAAGGCTATAACAACAAAAATGCAATTCCAAACAGCCATATCCTGCACAAATCTTATTGAGTTGAACCAGCACTGGAAACAGAAAAAATGTGCAAGGCAGGGGCTATACGGCTGTACATTGCGAGGTGTGTAAACTAACAAATTTGACGCCAACAGTATGTTCCAAAAAGGTGGGACGGGGGCATGTTTACTACTGGGTTTCATCACTTCTTCTTTTAACAACACTCTGTAAGCATTTGGGAGCTGAGGAAACCAACTGCTGTAGTTTTGAAAGTGAAATGTTTTCCCATTTTTGCTCAACATAGGATTTTAGCTGCTCATAAGTTCGGCGTCTCCTTTGTCGTATTTTTCATTTCATAATGTGCTAAATGTTTTCAGTGGATGAAAGGTCTGGACTGCAGTCTGGCCAGTTTAGCATCCGGACATTTTTAATGCAGGGCCATGGTGTTGTAATACGTGCAGAATGTGGTTTGACCTTGTCTTGCTGAAACAAGCAAGGCCTTCCCTAAAAAAGACGTCGTCTGGATGTATGTATCGTTCAGCATTAATGGTGCCTTCACAGATGTGCACGTCACCCATGCCATGTGCACTAATGCACCCCATAACATCATGAATACTGGCTTTTGAATTGTGCACTGATAACAAGCTGAGTGGTCTTTAGCCTGGAGGACACAGCGTCCATGATTTCCAAAAAGAAATTCAAATGTTGATTCGTCGGACCACAGAACACTTCTTTCACTTCCGCTCAGTCCATTTCAAATGAGCTCGGGCCCAGAGAAGGTGGCAGCGTTCCTGGTTCCTGTTTATATACGGTTTCTTCTTTGCATTTTAGAGTTTTAATTAGCATTTGTGGATGCAGCAACGAACTGTTTTCACAGACAGTGGTTTTCAGAAGTTTTTCTGAGCCCATGCAGTGATTTCAACTACAGAATTGTGTCTGGTTTTAATGCAGTGCCGCCTGAGGGCCCAAAGATCACGGCCAGCAAATACTGTTTTTTGGCCTTATCCCTTGCATACAGAGATTTCTCAATGTTCTCTGAATCTTTTAATGTTATTATCTACCGCAGTTGATGAAAAGCAAAAGTTCTTTGCTATTTTATGTTGAGAAATGTTATTCTGAAATTGTTGCTCTGTTTGCCCACACAGTCTTTCACAGGGTGGTGAACTCCTCCTCATCTTAACTTCTGAAAGACTCAGCCTCTCTGGGATACCCTTTTATACCCAATCATGTTATTGACCTGTTGCCAATTAACCACCAGGTGATTTTTAAGCAATACACAACTTTACCAGCTTTCTGTTGCCCCAGTCCCAACTTTTTTGGAACATGTTGCTGGCATCAAATTCAAAATGGGCATATATTTTTCAATCATTTTCAGTTCTAACATTTGATTTGTTGTCTTTGAAGCATTTTCAATGAAATATAGGGTTTAAATGATTTGCACATCATTGCATTTTGTTTTTATTTATATTTTACACACAAATGGATGGCATAAAGGACAAATTGTGCAAAAACAGATGGGCTATGGTGTGTAACTGTAAACCTACAAAGTGTACCTGTGTGGTAGGTGATTAGTGCTGGCACAAGGTGTAGGTGATTAATAAACTGGAAGCATGGTCTATGTTTGTGTTTGTGTGTTATATTCAGTACTGGCGTGCAACTGCTGCCAGAGCAGAAGGGGCTTCCACCCAACTGCTTCATCAGTGCTGAGGTGGTTCACTGGCTGATAAACACAGTAGAGAATGTGGCCACTCAGGGCATCGCCGTGGAGATTATGCAGGTAAACATCAGCATCTCACAGCAGAATTGAAATGTGTATAATTTGTGTGCATGTCTGCATATATATGTGTATATATATATATATATATATATATATATATATATATATATATATATATATATGTATGTATGTATGTATGTATGTATATGTATGTGTGTATATATATATATATATATATATATATGCAAAGTACATCTCCTTGTTACCACACTCTTTGTCCATTTTATCAGCTCCACTGACCATATAGGACCACTTAGACCTACAGTTACAGACTGTAGTCCATGTGTTTCTCTGCTCCAGCAACTCCAGCAGCACTGCTGTGTCTGATCTGCTCATATCAGCCCAACACACAGTAACACGCCACTGTGTGATCCACCACCCAAATAATACCTGCCCTGCAATGGTTCTCTGGGGGTCCTGACCATTGAAGAACGGGGGGGAAAGGGGTCTAACAAAGTATGCAGGAAAACAGATGGACTACAGTCTGTAATTCTAGAACTACAAAGTGTTCCTATATTGAGCTGATAAAATGAGTGTAGTAATAGAGCTGAATGATAAAATGAGTGTAGCTGATAAAGTGAGTGTAGATACAGGGAGGTGTGCAAAACATTAAAAAGCCTATTGTCACTGAAAATGGTGGCGTTTCTTAATTTGTTGATTCTTTTTGTGTTTAACTAAAACACTTTGGTATATGTCTGTCTGTCTGTCCTGTGATGGACTGGCGACCTGTCCAGGTCGTTTCCTGCCTTCCACTCAATGACTGCTGGCATAGGCTCCAGCTCCTCCCACGACCCAGAAGGATAAGCGGATTAGAAAATGTGTGTGGTGTGTGTGTGTGTAAAACACTTTGCTCTGTGTTCATGGTGTTTGTGTAGAAAATGCTGGATGAAGGCCTGATAGCTCACGCGTCCGGAGAAGCCATGCGCACTTTTGTCTATGGCTTCTACTTCTACAAGATCGTGGACAAAGAGAGTGAGAAAGGTGAGACTCCTGGTCCAAATGTAGTTGATCAGCTAAGACATGTTTAGTGTCTGAAGTTTTACAAGGCTAATGGAAGCTTAGGCCCAATTCACACATACTGTGTCTGGTGTGAGCGACACAGAACGTCATGCTTTTTTTTTCAGCGCCGATGTTAACTGGTCACCGCTTTCAAACAGACTGTAAATGCGAAGTAGCAGTGAAGCGGTGCGGTATTCGGAGAATAGGCCTGGTGCTGATTTTTTTCTGCCTGCTGCACACGTCACGCAGCAAAATACATTAAAATAAGCCATGAAAATTAGTGACATTGTTACATTGAAAATCATATACAAACTTAAAAACACTATTTTTTAGATTTAATTTAATTCATGACAAAATACTACTTATACATTCTGTGCTGCAGACAAATTTCCCGGTTGGTCTACCAGGCTTGAAACTTCTACCTAATCACAGGTCAGAATGCTATTGAGGATAAACAAATATACCATGCAGTTTCATAAATTAAAATTATTAATCAATTTTTATTGAGTGACTGATGTGACCATTTATCCATCTGTAAACAGGAATGTCTGTATAACTTTCTCGCTGCTCTGCTCTGCAGCAGAAATGCTGTATGTATGAAAGGCCAGCACGTTCGAGCTGTAGCGCTTACGCGGCCGTGTCGCTCGCACAACACAGAGGGGACATGAGTGAATTCGGCCTTATACCTTATCAATTAGCATGGTGCTAACTGCATGCCTGAATCATCACACACCTCAAACTGTGTGGAGTTGTTTAGTAATTTCTAATGGACCTGATCATGTGGTTTCTGACACTGTATGACACACTGTCATCTTTAAACACAAAAGTATGTTGCATAGCTCAAGCAGTCATAGCATCTGTATTGTCTGTATTTTAACCAGATACAAAAGACTTAGACTAATAAAGGACACTTCTGGCTACATCTTGACCCATTGAATCCATTAGGGTAAAGCATAAAATTGTGTAAATTAGATTTTTTTTTTTACAGATTGCAGCTTCAAAACTGTAGATTCCAACAGTAAGATCATGCATGACCATGTATATTAGAGATTGCTCTAATAATGTAGTATACATTCATCCTACAGAGCACAATTCCTCTCACTAACACTCTTCACACCTTCTCTCTCAGGTCCTGCTGCTCAGCTGCCTCCAGGTGGTGCTGGTGTGTGGTCGACAGCAGCGCTGGAGGACTTTGCGCTGTTCCAGAGGAAGTGGTTTGAGGTGGCGTTTGTGCTGGAGGAGCGACGGCCGTGTGACCTGCCTGCGTTCTTGCTGCCCTGGCTGCCCAGCCGACCTGCATCGTACGCAAGTAGGCACAGCTCCTTCAGCCGCAGCTTCGGAGGACGCAGCCAGGCCGCCGCCCTGCTAGGTACACACAGCCTGCCCTGCCCTGAGAGCTACACAAGCCCCGCCCCCAGCCTGCTAGCATGACATGCCCCAGTAGGACATAAACGTGCCTAAACATAAGTATGCAAATACCGATGTTTCCACAAAGCTTTTGTTTTTATACCAGTCGTGAGTGAAAACATCATGGGAGTATTCAGTATGCTTCTCCAGCACGCTGCACAAGTTGAAAAAAATAGACTTGAAGTGAATAACTATGTTTTGTGCTTTGCACTTTATAACCTGGGGCTGGATTCACAAAAGAATCTTAAGAATGAGAATCTTCATAAATGTGTTTTTCTTCCCATTCTTACTGAAGGAAAAGTTAAGAAATATTGTTATTCCTCCAAAAACTTACTTTTCTCTTAAGAACGATTGTAAACACAAGTGTTCATATACATTTTTAATGTAAGACTTTAGGCATTAACAGAGTAAACGTCTTAAACTTCTAATGAGTTTCACAAAATGTAATTGTTAAAATAAATTGGGATTTTTCCTGTTTCCTTCACCATCACTTTTAGGTCTTGTTTGCTAACATTTATTTTAATTTTGTTGTCCTTGTGTGCTGAGCAGATTAAACTGAATAACCGGTTAATGCAAATAATAATATTTAATTTAAAATTCATAATAAACCTCACATTGCTTATCATAATCTGTAAAATGTGACGTAAGAAAATAATTAAGATTTTTATAAGTGAATTTTTGATAACTCTTAAATTTTTTAGAGTATTCTTATAAACCTCTTAAGATCCATAAGAGGCTGTTTGGTTTTTAGGAAAACTTTTGTGAATCAGTCCCCGCTATATACCTTTTTAAAAAGGATTTTGTTTTTGTAATTCTGTGAGAACATGCACCTTTTTCTATTTTTATTTATTTATTTATAGATTTTTTGATAATTTATCAGTTTCAGAGTCGTTTATGAATTGGAACAAGAACTCTTCAGTGATACTGTAATCTGCAAGTTGCAAATGATACCCCACCTTAGTCATTACATTTTAAAATATGTTATAATGCAATGTAAGCACAAAATTCATTATGAACATAGTGGGTAATTAGGAAGACCAAACACTTTACTTGGTTCCTCAGATCAGTTGCAGTTGACGACTCACCTTCTTTCATCATTTCTTTTTGGCATGCATTCCTCACCTGTTGACGTATCATTTTGTAGCTATCAGAATAATCTGGTTTTACAGACACAGATTTATACTCTTTTGAGTGCTGAGACGTGTAACCACCACAGTAACATAATAGCACATATCGGAATAGTGTACAGCTGTGTGTCGCCGTTTGCATACTTGTGTGAGGTGCGTTTCTGACCTTATGGTCATGGAGGACTGTGAAAAGGGGAAGATTGTTGTTACAATTGTTGAGTCCAAAAACTGCTTTACTGAACTAAACCATACTGATGCAAAATCCATCTCTAACTATAAGAAGGCTGCCATTTAGAAGCATTCACAATAATACATGTGTAATGATGTCATTAAAGCCACAGGCAGCGATTAGCAAAGCCTTTTTTTGTTATCCTTTAGGTTTGTGGTACATTGCACCATTTTAGATGCTTGTAGTATTTTGTCATGGACAAAGCCAGATCTACTTGTTTGTGTGTTGTGATCCAAGAGGCATTAGCATTCCATTCAATTACACTATTAAAACAGTGCAAACTGAACAGATAATTTATAGTGTGGAGCAACAGGATTAGGTGTGGGGCTGTCATGATTACTCAATTAAAATTGATTACTCAATTGAAAAATTAATCAATTTAAATGTACATTCTCATTTAATTGGCTTAGTAATTAGCAATGACTGGTAGTTTGACCGCATTTTCTTATAAACGGTGACATAAAAAGTAAAGCGTGCGCCTGTTTCAAACAGAATGTTTAACTAGAGCTGGCCTAAGCAGTATTAAACCCTGTGTTGGAACACTGCTGCTATTGTGTTAGCGAAACATTCTCATAGAAATTCCCATAGAAGTGCCATTTGGGCATTTTCTGCCGCACAGTGCTTTTATCTATGAAGGCTTCCTTTCCACCTTTTCAGTGAACAATTCTGAAAGAGTATATTGTTCAGTCTATTTTTACTGGATTAATCATCATAATTGCTAGATTACTTGATTTCTCATATAATCAATAGTAACAGCCTCAATTAGGTGTGTGTGGTTAGTCATCCTGGTCATTGAATTGTCTAGCAGTGGTGAGCCAAAGCACAGTCGCTTTGACTCAGTACTACTATACAGTCAGACATTTGTTATAGCTTTTTATAAATATGTCTAAAATTCAGAGGACATTTTTACTTTCACTCATGTAGAAAACTGAATGTTAAGGACTGTCCTATCGTTTTTGTTGACTTGAAATCCCTGGCTGTGCCTTTTAGACAGATCCTCTGCATGTATTAGCACACAACCGGCTACATAAAATTTCAGAAAAAGTTGCATACAAAAGTTTGTGTACCCCTGTTTAAATGCTATGTTTTCTTGAATTAACACATCCTCTACAGAGAACACACTTCTGCAAAATTTTAATACACAACTACTGCTTATTTACTGAACTTAATACACTGGGGGGAAAATTATTATTAAACTGAGCAAAAAATAGAAATTATGCTCTAAAATGTGGAAACGTTTGTTCCCTGTAGAGGATGTTTTCACTTATTTACACTTAGAAAATCAACAGAAGATGTCATTTGACCAGGGGTCTTCACACTTTTGCACACTCCAAACTGTACAGTGTTGCTGTGCTCCAAGACTGGAATTTTAACATGAGTTAAACAGAGTGGTTTAATATGAAATGCTTGATTGCAGGGAAACATACTGACTCAGATTTCTTTACAGTGGTGGTGATAGGAACCAGGGGTCACCATGACTACAACACTAGACATATTATTTACAATCCAAAACCACCAGTGAACCTACACGTGTTTTCTAAATTTTTATATCTAATACTGTATTATAAATTTGAACAAATTTGTGAAAAAAAGTTTCTTTGGGGACTATTTTGCCGTACAATGACCTGCATGTGTCCGTTCACAATAAATGGATTTTAAAAGGCCATAAAACAATGTGTCAGACATCAGGCAGTGTATTTATAACCACTTTATGTGATAAGTTTCTGTGAGGGAGCTTTTAGAGCTGGACGCCTGGTTCCTATTACCACCAATGAACAATTCTGACTCTGTAAGTTTCTCTAGAACAGAGCATTTCACACCAAACCACTCTGACAGACTTTGTCTTGACCATTTTGTTAGCAGAAACTTGCAAAAAAATGTGTAGAATTCCACTTTAACATGTGCATCGTCATCATCATCTGGACTCATGTGTGACTCAGCTTCCTCCTACAGTCCTCCAGGGCTGCATGCTGTAAGTAGTTGTTGAGTAGTCTGTAGAGTAGCTCTCTCACTGACCCCTCCTCCAAGCAGATAGCATGTAGACCTGTCCTAGGCTGATGGTCAGAGAGTCTTTGTTATATAATCTGGCATGCAGGACACGTGAACATGTCTGATATCACACGGTATGTTTCAGAATTTAAAGACTTTATTGGTATCATCTCATCTCGGTGTGGCACGTAATAAACGTAATAGGCAACTGCTGTCTCACAGTCCGCAGTGGTGGGCACTATGCCACAGTAATGCTGTTATAACCTCTGGTGTCACAGTACTAGAGTTCTGATACCAGTACAGAGTGCGTTGCCACAGTGCTCAATACCAAATGATGTAATTAAAAAATATGACGATAAGACGATTATCAATATTTCTCTGTTAATAACATGATTTCAGTGTGCTACTGTCGCGTTTATTTGATATGTAAAGAACTTCATCTAAAAGGTGAAAATTCATAGATGTTTATTCAGTTTATGTCGCAAGCTACCTTTTAGAACAAGCATATACATGAATAGGAGTATACAGTCATGTGCAAAAGTTTTGGCAACCCTGGCCAAATGACGTTTTGATGCTTTTCTAGGTGAAAATAAGTTAAACACAATGTGTCAAACACAAGGACCGCAGGTCAAGTCAGGCCTGTGACACAGTCCTAATTGGCCCGCAAAATTATTTTGATTTTTTATTAATATTATCCTTTTTACTGATGAGATGCACTACAGTCCCCAGCATGCACTGCAAAACAGTGTGTGTTCTGACCCCCTTTCCCTATTCTATTGGCCAGCGGTTACACAAAAAGAAAAGATGCCTGGTGTGTAGTTCAAGCAATAGGCAGTTTTAAAAATACCTAAAACAATTTATTTTTATTTAGATTTATTTTTGAATGAGTATTCAACATCTACTTTGCTGTTGCAGTTTGGACATATTTTGAATAATCAATGGCTTGTTCAGGTCATGGCAAAATGTTAAGTAAAAATGAAAAAATACAGCTGGACCATGAATTTGCTTAATATGGCCCTTTTAGTGGTTGAGTTTGACACCCCTGTTCTTTGGAACAGCTCCAAAAGAACCCTTTTTGGCACCTTTATTTTAAAAGGGCAGAGGACAACACAGTGTCAGCCCAGGTCACCTTAGTATTAAATGTACTGAAAGTTGTAATATTGAACTATTTGGCACATTGCAGTATTGACCAAATATTGAACTTTCAGTAAATTGTGGAAAAGTAGTCATATCCAAAAATCACAAAATGAGCTGTTTTTAATTGAAGCACTTTTATCTAAAAGCAGCATTTTCAAACTGCTTGAATACTCAACTACCTTAGGAAGAAATACAACATTTGTTTTTTAATAATGTTAAACTATTTCGCAAAAAAAACCCCAGAAATATCACGCACAGTTCAAATGTTCGCAAAAGTAAATAAAAGAATCATAATTATATGAAAATAAAATATGTGAAATGCACATACATGCCACTCTGTTCTGTCTTAGATTTGTGAATTTGTTTTCTATAATGTCTGAGTCAGTATTTTTAGAAAGATAGTCTGTTGTAATAATAATAATACATTTTATTTAGCAAATAATGAACGTATATTTTATTTATTTATTAGTATTAATTTTAAATATATGTATTGTAAAAGAAAATATATTTATATATTGTATATATATATATATATATATATATATATATATATATATATATATATTATTAGTAATAAGTTTAAGTATTATATTTAATATATATTATTTTATATTCCTTTATTTATGTATTTATTTTATTTACATACAATAACAAATACTATATTGTTGTATATTGTAATTTAATCATTATATATATATATATATATCAGGAAAATTAAAATAAATTTTAAAAAGCTGCAAAATAAAGGACAACACAACTTACAAGCTTATAGATCACTGATTAACAAAATGCTTCAAAAGGGTAAAAGCCTACAATACCTTTTAAAATTGTTAAAGATTTGGGACCAAAATCTGGGAATGTGAGCACAGCGTTGCTAAAACCCATCAGTAGGAGAACAGCATTGGATGATACCCAGGTAACTGGGCTGAGCTGATCGATGACCCGAGTAGAAAGTGGTCGTTTTCCTGTGTCATGGTCAGAGAATCCTTATCCTTTCGTCTGGCATGCAGCATACGTGAACATAACTGATATCTCACAGTGTTTGGCATCAAAGGTTTTATTAGCATCGTCTCGTACAGTGTGGTGTGCAGTAAACTTTTAATGCCTCTGTTATCTACAGTCTGCAGCGGGCTTTAATTTCTTTACAGTTTATGCCCCTCTGTCCTCACCCTTCTTCACTAGAACTGATTGATTGTCAACCAATGATGATGTAATCAAACACAATCTACCCTGGTGTATCAGCATGTATTAAAGCAATAAACCGGGCTGTCTTATGATTTTATTTTAGTGATCTTATCATGATTAAGTGGAATAAAACTGCTGTAACACAGCTTTGAATGCATTATAACTTTTATAAAACAGTGACAAAATACAGTACGATAAAATACACCATTGTTAAATGAATAATTGTAAGCATTACAAATAATAACCACAATAAACAAAGGTTTGGCTGGTTTAACAGTGTAGTTTGTCAACAGTAGCAGCCTATGTCAAAGACTATTGCATGAACAGTAAATGGTTTTTAATTTAAAACTTAAAGGGAAATTCAACCAATTTTTTTTAAATGTTTTGCATAATGTAGTGCTTAAACAGTCATTCAGAGTGGATTGATGTGAAAAACTCCTTTCTAGACAAACTTGGACTCTTTAGTGGTGGTGATAGGAACCAGGAACACAAACATAACCATTTTATTTACTATCCAAAAGCACCAGTGAACCTACACATGTCTTCTGAGTTTTGTATGGAATGTTGATGATGGTAAAACAGTGATAAATCTGAAGAAAATCAGGCAGTGTATGAGGCACTAAATTCTTCAGATGCCTGGTTCCTATCACCACCACCGTAAAATGAACAATGAACCATTTCACATCAAACCGCTCAAACTACTTTCTTTACAGCTTACTCATTTACTTTTGCCAAACTTTGGTAGAAATGGGTAGATTTCCTTATAATACAGAATTCACATGATGTGTGCAGTCAGTGAGTATGGAGCGCGAATGGCTCAGCCAATCAGATTTTAGAACCAAAACACCAAGTGCTGTGGCTGTGTGTCTCCTCTGTCCACTCGGAGCACAGGCTGGTGTTCTCATTGTCCTGTTGAGGCTGTAGCTCCAGAGGCCCGTGTGTGTGGGGCTGTAGTGTGTAGCACGCTGTGGTCTGGTAGTATTGGCTGCGGACTCGACTCGCTCTCTTTCAGCTTCTCGCAGCTGGACGCCCTAACTTTCCCACAATGCGGCCCAAAACTGACCGTTACAAAGCTTTTCCGCTTTACTCTTGTCTTCCTCACTTTCGCTCACTTGGCTTTTAGCCTTTTTCCTGCCAGCATGAGCTAATTTTGCTTATTTATGTACTTCAGCATTATATATTTTAGCGTGATGTATTTTTAGGATTATGTATTCCTGGTATTATGTATTTCTATTATAATATATTTCTGGTATTGTGTTTTTGTTTTTAGCATTATGTATTTGCATTTTTAGCATTTTGCTAATTTAGGATTATGATTTTTTTTAGCCTCCTGTCTGTCATATAGGTTGATTTTTATATTTTTTCTATTGATATTTTACCAAAAAAAGCTACCATAGCATTGAAGAGAAAACAGAAATGGCCAGTTATGCAAACTCAGTACTTCATGCTGGTTCCCAGTAGCTTTCATTCATAGCTTGATGTGCATTTTTGGGGGGAAATTAATAACATAAAAGTAAACTAATTGGAAGGAAACCCTAAAAGAGTTCAAATAGTTTTGTAGAATCTTTAAAATAAAGGCATATGGTATTTTTTAATGCATAGAATATTAAGAGGTTACCGTGGAGGCCCATTCCCTTCAGGTGCTGTAGAAAAAAATCATTTAAAAATTAGCATTTTAGCTAATTATTTAACATAGTTTGTTGGACTTTCATGTTTAAAACTGAAAACTCTCAAGATAATTCAAAATGATGCTGCCAGAAATGGAGGATTTGGTGGGAACAGGGTTCCAGGTGGTCTCCCATCGTGGAATACTTTTCAAAGACCCAGAGAACCCCTTATGAAAGCTCAATTTGTTGATTAGAAACTCAGTAGAAGACTTTTAGAGAGTGGTAACAGTGTGGTAGCCCTAATGAGAGTGAACGTGTGCCATGTTATAGGTTTTAATCTATGATATGTACTGTTATATACAGCCTGTTGATAGACAGTCATGTTTCAGTTGTTTTTTTAGCACCATGTTATCAACTGTTTTCTGTTTTTTCTGCTACTGTGAGTAACATCAGTCTTTCAAAATTCAGCTAACATTACTCAACATGAGAAAAGTTTCAGGAGTCACAAACTAACTACAAACTGACATCATCCCATTTATCCATTTATCATAAACTTTTCCAATTACTTCTTTCTCTCTAATTCATCCTATTTCTTTCCTTATCATTTGATTTTTCTGTCATCCATCCGTCCATCCATACGTCCATCTCTCTCTCTCTCCCTGTCTCTTTCTCTCTGTCCGTCTCTTTTTCCTTGTCTCTCTGTCTCTCTCTCTGTCTCTCTCTCACCCCCCCTCAGCTGCTACAGTTCCGGAGCAGAAGACGGTGACTCTGGACGTTGATGTTAATAACCGCAGTGATCGCACCGAATGGTGTAGCTGTTATTATCACGGCAACTTCTCGCTCAACTCAGCCTTCGAGATAAAGCTTCACTGGATGGCCGTCACTGCGGCTGTGCTGTTTGAGATGGTCAGTATGTGCTGGTTTAACTGGGACTCGCTGTATTACTGCATACACATTAAAATCGGTTGCATATTCACTCACAGTGTCACAGTCATTGGTTAGAGGATGGCAAACTTCTCAGCCAACCACTGACTCACTGATTTTGCTTTAGTACAATATTTATTCACAGGTTAAATGTGTCCAAACAAACTGCGTAAGAGTATATCAGACTGTTCAGACAATTGGAATAAAGATTGAAGTTAAGATCTTATTAAATTAATGTCCAGAACGAAGTTCTAATAAAATTAATATCCAGAATGAAGTTCTAATCCAATTAATATTCAGAGTGAAGTTAATGACCACAGTGAAGTTCTAATAAAATGAACATACAGAATTTCAAAAATTGTATTTCAAACATGTTGATAAAATCTTGAGGCAGATAAGATGAAAAAATATAAATTATCTTTTAATAACTTATCAAAACGTTAACAAAAAATAAATATTAAATAAAACATGTAAACAAGAATAGTATTTAAATTTACATGGTTTAGATTATACATGTATGTATATGTGTATATATATATATATATATATATATATATATATATATATATATATATATATACACAAATAAATAAAACAAAACTATTAATATGACCATTTGAATGGTGGTGTAACAGTATTACAGTAACACCATTCTACACGTGCAGAATTACCTGTAGGTAATAGGTGTAGTTTAGGTGTTTCCTTAAAGAATTTGAGAAGGTGTAACAATGACCTCTGACCCGGGTTGTTTTTTCAGGTGCAAGGTTGGCACAGGAAGGCGGCATCATGTGGCTTCCTGCTGGTGCCCGTCCTTGAGGTGCCTTTCGCATTGCCCTCCTACTTGTACGGAGATCCATTCAGAGCACAACTCTTCATCCCCCTCAACATCCAGAGCCTGCTGAGGGACTCCAGCGACAGCCTGTTCGATGGTCAGCGCAACGAGAGCCACTGCAGTTATACAGAGAGCACCTAACCCTTAAAAGCTATTTAGCTATATGTCCATAATTGCCATATTCAGTGTTAGTCCAAGATCATTGTTTTAGCAAATTAATCCAGGATCAATATAAGGACGGTGGTCCCAATCAGTATTAGTAAATCTGTCCAGGATCAATATGAAGATGATGGTCTTGAAACAACATGGATAAATGGTCCAGAATCATATATGAATGATATAGTTACATTTAGCTGTCAATTATAAACCTCAAAACAAGCCATTTAAAAACAGACAAAGCTAATATTATAATAAGCTGTGCAAAAAAATAGAGATCATTGACAGATTTTGTTCTTGTTTTATTCCTGAATGAGACTGATATTGCAATGTGCCTCCATCAGGGTTTGAACCGGAGACATACTGGGACAGGATGCAGCTTTTCCAGGAGGCCATTCTCTACAGGTGGACTGCACTAGAGAAAATGACATAAAATGGTCAGATCATTTGTGTAGTGTAATACTGAAACAGTCGTCTCTTCCTTTGTCAGGTTCGGGTTTGTTCAGGATAAGTTTTCTGCTTCAGCCTTCAACTTCCCTGCTGAAAACAAGCCCCAGTACATCCACGTCACAGGTATATGAAACAAACATTTATATGAAGAGACACAGAATGAAAGAAAGAACTGAAAAGAACTTGCAAAAGTTTGGGCACCCCTAGTCAAATTGCATGTGTTGATTTTCTAAGTGTAAATAACACATTGTCTGCAGGGAACACACTTATGCACATTTGAATGCTTCAATTACTGTTTATTTGCTAAATTTAACATAATGGGGACAGAAAAACACAAACAATGTGGTCTGTGCAAAAGTTATGGCACATTTTATATTTTGTTTTTTTCCAATATGTTAAAGTCCGCAAATGAATAGAAATTGTGCCATATTTCTTTTATTAGTAAATCTATCCAGGGTTGATATAATGATGATGGTCCCCAGTCAGCCTTAATAAATGTATTGAGGATAAATATGACGATGATGGTCCAGAATCACTATTAGTAAATCTATCCAGTTTCTGTTTATTTGCTTAATTTAACATAATAGGGACCAAAAAAAAACACAAAAAATGTGGTCTGTGCAATGTGCAAATGTTATGGCACATTATTATGTAAAAAAAATATATATATTTTTTTTTCTTTCTTTCTTTCTTTTTTCAGTATGTTAAACTTAGCAAATGAATAGATACTGTGCAGTAAAATTTGCAGATAAATGCCATATTTTTTTCTCTATTTTCTCTTTTTTTTTCTAACTTTCAGAAAATCAGCAGAAGATGCCATTTGACCAGGGATGTTCAAACTTTAGCACATATCTGTACATAATTTTTTTTTTTACATATAATTACATAGAAATATAACTAACCTCTCCTTTAAGCAAATAGCAAAAAAACAAAAGCGCCAAGAAAAGTTTTAAGAAGTCCAAAATAAAAGTAAAAAATACAGATAGCTGTTACAGCTACTTACATGACAATTGCAAGCAAAATATGTCTAATTATATATCATTTGAATATTGTTTTGACAGTAGCTAGAAGCAGGCAGTGAGAATGGTCATGACGTTTGATGCACTTTTACAGATTAGTTAAGGACAGTGTAGTTTTTGAGCTGTGCACGTTAGTGTACTTCGTAATTGACTATAGCAGACTAGCCACATCACTTGCTCCAGATGCAGGAGAGCAGCTCATGGGAGCACACCAGTGCTCCTATTCCAGATATGACTCCTAATGCTACATCTAATCATGTCACTCTCGTGCTGTGCATAAGTAACGTCATTTGTTCTGTCATCACAGCCCTTGACAATGTGCTCATCTCATATTGCTATAGTGATAAAAATATGATAATCGTGCAGCCCTGTTGTGTATCATATGACCACAATAGAGAATAATAGCGGCTATTTATTTTTAATTTTTAAAGTGGCAACAATTTGACCAATATATGCTCCACCCACAAATGGATCCATTCATTGCAACTGTTGTTGGGTACAGTTTTGGGTGCGTTATTGATTTCCGATGAAATATGAACGGGGGGAATTTCAGATGATGAATTGACGTGGAGAGCATGTCAGAAGCATTATATAGCAGCTCTAAACAAACACTGTAGAGATCCAGTCTGAATAATTATTGCTTTGACAAACAGAATCTGCACTGCAGTTTCTCATTATTATGGTTGCACATTGCAAAGCAGTCATTTTCTATTATTATTCTTTTATGTTATCGTATTTTTCTGCCGGATTTTTGCCTCATAACTTGTCCTGCAGTTTTTGAGATATCAACACCGTATCAACTCTAGATTGTCCAGTCTGATTGTGTGATTCAGGCTTGTATACAGCTTGTTGATCGGATGCGTGGTTTTCAAACAATCTTAATTAAATTTCCACATTTTTTTTCCCATAAAAATTAATGGGGTAGAAAATTGCACAACCATCTACTGTAATTCTGCTCGACTGAAAGACACCGTTTCACATATACTATCACAGGGCAGGCCTACTGCACAGCCATACCGACCCGAACTCTCTGTGTGTCGTTTTTTCATCCCTCGTTCCTCACATAGACTCCTATTCATTTTCAACAGCACATAGTTAACACTTGGCAACTCCCTACGAACTACTGAATAAACACCCCATACACCATGGCAACTGCCTAGCAACACCTTAGCAACCACCTGAAATACCATTGTAACTGCCTAACAAACACAGAGCAGGAAGTAGAAACTATTTAAGCTGCGTAACCATTCTGCGTTTCCTTCAGGAAATGCACGTCTCTAGTTTTGAATGGGCTTTCTCCAAAGCTTGCCCAACCTAGCAACAGTTGCTAGGAAAGAAGGCATTTGTGGGCGGAGACTGGATAGGACGTTAATTGCCTAATTCTTGTGTCCCTGTCACTCACTGCCTTTTTCCTTCTTTCTCAATATCAATCATGCTCATCTTTATTTCTCTCCTGCTATTTCTCTTTCTCTGTCTCCATCTCTCTAAACTACTGTTTTTCTGTTTAAACCTCTCTCCTTCTTTGTCCATCCAGGTACAGTCTTTATGCAGTTGCCCTACTCTAAAAGAAAATACTCTTGTGGTCAGCAGCGGAGACGCCGTAACTCTGCCTCCTCAGCCAGTCAGAGTCTGTTTGGCTGTGAGGAGAGAGTGGGCTACAACTGGGCTTACAACACAATGCTGACCAAAGCCTGGAGGACCAGCGTGCTGGGCGATGAAAAACTGGCCGACCGCCTCCTCCGTGACTTCACAGACTTTTGCGCCAACAAGGACAACCGACTGGTGGCCTTCTGGGACAGCTGTGTGGAGAAAATGAACTCTAGTGCCCCCTAAAATAGGCAAAGTGAGGCTTTGGCTGAGAATTGCTGCTGGGAACATGGCTGAGTATGGCTTTAAATCCTGATTGGTGCCTAACTAATAACCTAATGTACTGCCTAACCAACGAGAGAAAATAAATAAATAAATTTAAAGAACTAACTCAACAGCTTTCGACTCACAGCGTCAGCAGAAGCGTCTGCAGTGCTTCTGGCAGTGATGTACACTGCTGATTGTGCACTGTGTCACAGTGAAGGGTACACTGGGTCCTTTATATGTGTTATGCGGAAAACAGAATCAGTCCAATAAAGCATTTTAGTAAGGGTTCAAAGAATCCTGTTTCAGTTTAGCCATTTTAGGTTTTTCCTGCTTTAAAACGAGTTACTCTTCAGCTCACGTGCACTCCAAAACACATATATACATTCACTATGTGTCCAAACATTTGTGTACACCTGCTTATCCATTGTTTCTTTTTAAATTAAGGGTATTAATAGGGAGTTTGTCTTCCTTTGCTGCAGTAACAGCTTCTACTCTTAGGCCTTAGACACTAAATGTTGGAACATTGCTGTGAGGATTTGATTGAGCATTAGTGGGGTCAGGTACTGATGATGGAAGGTCAGTTCTGGATCACACCAACTCATCCTAAAGGTATTGGATGGAGCTCTATCACTGCACAGAATGCAGCTTTACTCAATGCTGGGGTGCTTTATATCCCTCTATCCCATGCTTGGCACTGGGCATGGTAACGTTAGGCTCATGTGCAGCTGCTCCAGAGTGTCCCATTCTGTTGTTAAAAGTCGGTGCTTTTCTATGGAAATTTTACAAACACAGCTGAACCGCCTGGGTGCACCTAAAATCAATGTGAATGGGAAATCAGAACACTTTTTCCTTCTGTACAGTGACCTATTTTTGAGTGAAAGATGGTATCAGTGGGTCATTGAGCTAGCTGAGCATTTTCTGTCCATGATGAGAGGAGGTGAAACATGATAGTACTGTTTTTTTTTTCTCTCCGCCCACTAGTGCCCAGTGGCATCATCAAAAATCAGATGTTTTGGAAGATGGAAGGAGGAAACCAAAGGAATTGTGTTTAAATTATGCTTTAACAAGTCAAAAAAGTCTATTTTGAGTTTAGGTTGACTTTAAAGTAGCTGAATTCGCTAATTAGAGTTTGGATACTTTTGGACCCATATTGTATGTGTTGTCGTCAGCAATAACTGATGTCACAGTACAATACAGTATGCTTTTCTGAACATATTGTGTATATCCAACTACCTGTTTCATTATGAAGAGAGCAAAATTAGTCCTGTTTACTGCAACGCACACTGTAAAAATGGCTCCTCAGATTAACCTAAATTTGTAAAAATGTGGTAACAAGTAAATTAACTAGTTTTATTTAACCTAAGTAAATACTTTGACCGATTCTTTCAATCAGTGTAATGTTTGAGTTGAATAAAACTAGTTCAATTGCTTGTTACTACATGATGTATTTTTTTTAGGTTGATTGCCATTTTTTACAGTGCAGTATTGAAAAGTTGAATAAAAATATTGAAAAGTTGAATAAAAATTGCTAATGCAGTTTTTGATAGTATTTTTAAAATGTAGCTCTACTGTTTTTTTTTTCTGTTCTGAATGATTGGGTGTCTCAAAAAAATATTGTGACATGGTGTATCGTGAAAATTATTGCAATATATAATAATAATAATAATAATATTTTTTAGTTATAAAGCACTTTTAATGCCGGTGGCAGCTCAAAGTGCTTTACAGACAGGAGATATTAAACAGTCATACAAAAAATTATAAGTATTAATATAGAATCATATAAGAAAATGACACAGCAAATTAATAGATAAATACCAAGAGTTTTAATTAAATGCTAAGTTAAAGAGATATGCTTTTAGATGCTTCTTAAAAGTGAGCATTGAGCTTAACTGTCTAATAAGAGGTGAATTGAGTTCCACAGTTTAGAAGCAGAATAATTGAACGAGTCTCTCCATATTTTCTGTATTTTACAGTAGGTATTTTCAGAAGGTCCGTATCTGCAGATCTAAGATCACGTGCTAGAACATAAACAGACACATTCTTTAATGTAAGCGGTGCTTTAAGGTCATTTAGAGCCTTAAAAACTAGTAGCAGGACTGCTGGGGCTGAGCCCTTCATGCCGTGCATGCCCACTATTTCCTAATAGTTCCACTATTCATGCACACTATTTCCCAAGATTGAATAAAAATCATTGTGTTCACAGTTTCTGATAGTATTTACTGTTTTTTGGGGTTGGTCAGATGTCTCAAAAAAAAATATTGTGATGTATGGTGTGTTGTGAAAATTTCTTGAAGTATCGCAGTATTGTATGTTTTCCTATAACCTCTAACTTCTAGTCAATTTTTTTGTTTTGTTTGTTTAGGGAAGGTACTTGAGTATTGATTTAGGCTCCTCTACCCTCCCCTTTTTCTAAGTTGTCATGTTGCCTGAACGTGTCACCAGCAGTGCAGTGTTCCTTACCAAGCCCTACGGTGACAGAACTGTATAAATAAAAAGAAAAATAAATAAAAATAATGTGAGGCCACAACTTAGCAATGCGTGGGAACGAGATCCAAATGTGTGGCCATGACTTAGCAAGGCATGGGAATGAGATGATTAAGCTTTGACCACATCTTAATAAGGCATGATCTTTTTCCTACGCCTTACTAAGTCATAGCCAGCACTTAATTATGTCGTTCCCATGCCTTAGGATCTGAACTAATCAAAGCCATCATTTGTATACAAAATAAAAAGAAGTAGTTTAAGACTTAATGAGAAATACTAATGTATGAAAATGCCTGGATTCTAGATTTGTGTCCCGGAACGGAATTCATTTTTTCCTGGACAGGTACAACCCTACGAGATGCCTTTTTACATGCACTTTAAACAGACTGCAGAACTGACCAGTGGACTTGTTTAAGGCCACTGTTTCCCAGTCCTGCTTATTTTATTGTCTTCTTGTTCTTACAACCCTGTTTAAACCTCATGAAGAGCTTGTGACTGAGCTGATGAGCTGAATCAGGTGTGTTGGAGCAGGAAAACGTGCTTTTAAAATCACTAGAGCTGCTGGAGCTGAACCATTCATGCCGCGCATGCGCAGCCGAACCGCTGCAACGAAGAATGCAGCAAGGCGCAGTGCGCAGGCGCGCCGCCGGTGTAAGGGTGGCTATTTTTAGAAAGTGACGTCAACATTAAATACAACTAGCCCACCCCCCCACCTCGTTTCAGCCTCCCATCCTCCTTTCTTCCACCCTGTTCGCAGCAGCGGAGGGACAGAATAAACGACTTTTATTCTATCTGCCTCATTTTTTGGGGGTTTTTCTGCCCCGCATCGGGGTTGACCCCCGCCATCGCCCCTCTTCAAATACACACACACCCTCTCACGTGCGCGACTGCTCCACATTCCGCTCGCGCTTGCGTGCTCTGGTCGCGAGCGCCACCCATCTTCCTCACCACCGCCTCCCCCCATCATCACCACCACCATCAGCATCTCCTCCATCAGTGCACTCCACCAGCGCTCCATCGAGAAGAAGCCCAAGACTGCGTGAAAAGGGAAAGAAAGGAGGGGGAACGACAGAAGAAAATCGCCGGAGCGCCGGTGCACGAGAGAGGAGCGAAAGAGGAGAGAGCGAGGAGAAAGACAGAGAGAGCGAAGGAAGGAAGGAGAGAGAGAGAGAGGATGGCAGACAGGGAGCAGCTCATCCAGAGAGCCAGACTGGCCGAGCAGGCGGAGCGCTACGATGACATGGCCTCAGCCATGAAGCTGGTGAGATGTCAAGATGCTCCAAACGATGAAACTTCCTATCCGCCAAGCTTCTTATTCGAATTTACCCGTTCCACCTTAAATGGTGCAGCAGTTACATTCTGGCGCCTGAGTATCTGCTGCACCATTTAAGGTGGAGCGGATAGATTCGAGAAAGAAGCTGGTCTCAAGATGAAGCCTTTCCAGCAACGTCCAGCGTTTTATGCTTTATTGTTGTTGTTGTTATTGTTGTTTTGTTTGTTGTTCTCAGTGTTGTACTGAGAAACGCATCTTTGTGCATCATGCATCCTGCTTTGTCATGGATGCACGAGCCTCTAATAGCAGATATTCACTAGAATGTAATGCAAACAAAGCATAAATAAAGAAGCACACAATGTGCGCTGTTTGTCTTTGAAGTTAACTAATGTAGATTTAGATTAAGAAGAATAGATGCAGGTTTTGCCAGTGACCGCTAGGGGCGCTGCTGACAACATTGCAGACTCCCTTAGCCATTCACTAGTCTATTGTTTCCTTTCTAAAGAAAAAAATGCTCGTGTTAAAGGTGTTTGCCGTCATTAAACATTTACCTCAAGCCTTTTTTTTATATTTTTTGGACTGGGAAAGTGCGCAAAGCATCAGGTCTGCAATGCAGCAGTCATTATGTCCAGATGGATATCAGTGCATAAAGAGATGTCAATGGCAGGATCTGGGCTCAGGTCGAGGTTGACCTTTGGATGCAAATGGCCTGTGTATAAATGCTCTGTTCTGCTTTAGAAATAACGTGCATATGCAACGTTTGACTGATCTGCTGTCATTTTCCTGATTGTGGAGCTGATGACTGATGCACCAAGATGATGGTCCTCCATTGACATTGTATGCAAGGTCAGGAGGGAAGGAGAACGAGGGGCAGCCCAGTTGATTGAGCACTCATTCTAAGCATCCTGGTTCCTTGCTTAATTGAGCTCTTTCTTAGGAACTGCTTTGTTTGGTGTATTTATATTGTTTGTCGCCTACATAGTGGATGCATACATTAGAGCAGGAGCAAGAGGATGCAAGGACGTCCTCTTTAGCATTCTGCAGGTGTTTAAAGCAGGAGTATGGCTCATGCACTTGGATATAATGTTGTCTATAAAGATGGACCTCATATGATTCCTTACTTCATATGTAGTGCCCTACAAAAGTCATGATTAATGAGATAATAGCCTTTTTAGTGCAATATATGTCTAATTCAAGGCTATTTGTATTCAGCAATAGCAGGGGTTGGCAACCCAAATGTTAAGAAGAGCCATTTTTTCCTTTCAACAAAAGTCAAACCACCATAATCAAAGCCACAATGTTTTATGTCCATTTTATCATCTTGGCTGTAAATATGTCTCAGTTTGTGCTAATGTACTTTTTAAGGTTCAAAAATATAAAGGAAAACACAGACGTACTTTGCTCTGCTTTAAGCTTTAGCTCAGGTATAGCTGCTTTTCTCGCATCTCTGGCAGGAAACTTTTACACAGCAGTGGAATAGTTTCTTGTAAACCGTCTCACAACGTAAAAATTTTTATGAGGCTGAAGTCGCTTCTCATTCGCCAGCTTCTTGTTTGTATTTTCCTGTTCCACTTTACATGGTGCCTGAGGTGTCCGAATGTAACAGCTGGACCCTTTAAGGTGGAATGGGACAATTCCAATGAAGAACTAACTTCAGCTTTGCGACTTTTGAGTGACTTGACAGTTTCTTGTTGCAGATGAACATATCAGGAAACCAGCTGGAGTGATTATAAATGCAAATAAGTCCAAATAAATGATCAGTGTTCGTCTTAAATCTTTCTCTTTGCCATTTCATTAGCTACTAGCTAGGCCAGAGTCTTATCTGCGTTACTATGGTGACCAGCAGTCTGCGCGCCAACCTTCAGGGTTAAAGGGTGAATTAGCAGTTATACATGAAACACCAGCGTTTGTTAAAACTGTGTTAGAACTAACAGTCAGCAGAGCTTTATTTTACTGCCAAGGAGGATTATTTTATGTTTACCTACAAATCTAATTCTGCTGTGGAGCCACAACAGGGCAGTAAAAGAGCTGCATGTTGCCGACCCCTGGGCAATATGCTGTATGACTTCCTGATTAGCATTCAGTGTCCTTTTTTGGTGTAGAAGCTGCAGTTTCATGATTTATGTAGTGCACTACATAGGGTGTAGTGACCCATTTGAGATACAGCCTCTGTATATTGCTGCTGCTGCTGCTGTTTTTAGCTTTGTTATTTGCTTTTGTCCATTTTTGTTGACAGTAGTCATATAGTGTCATAAACCATATAACCAAGTCTATCGGAGATTACTTAACAGCTTAGCGTGGTTTAGGATGGTTTTAAGCGTGCAGTCCTCACAGTAACTGGTGAAGGATCCAATAATTGTTAGCTGCATTAGCCTTGTGGCATCGGCACAACACTAAAAGAAGCGAACTTAGGACAAAAAATGTGTTTTGGCTGATTGACTATGTTTGAGGTAAAGAGGAAATGTGTAAATTACTCAGACCACTAGAACCATTAGGATTAAAACCCGATGGTTTTGCTTTCTAATGGGAATTGATTTAATGTTTTCTACTGGTCTCCTGTAGGACACCTTTAGATCCCTTTAGGAAGCCATCAAATGTATCCGGAATCATTTCCTGAACACCAAAGAAACTACTAAAAGTTTGTTCATTGTGGTGTCCAATAGTCAGTGCACAGATAGCAAGCATATATCAGTCCACTAGCTTGATAAGGTCGGCACCCCGCTGACTGTTTGCTACTGCTGGTTCACCCTCGGACCACCCAGATTATTGTCCTGCATACAAGCTCTAAATAGATTTTAATCTCCTCAAACAGATGTTAAATGCACAGAGCCTTTTATTTTAGAAAATAAACGTAGACACATATTACAAACAACTTAAAGAAAGAATAGGCTTGAACTGCACCCTGGCGAGGGCAGCACGGTGGCGCAGTGGGTAGCGCTGTCGCCTCACAGCAAAAAGGCCAGGGTCATTTCTGTGTGGAGTTTGCCTGTTCTCCCCGTGTCTGCATGGGTTTCCTCTGGGTACTCCGGTTTCCTCCCACAGTCCAAAAACATGCAATCAGGCCAATTGGACATGCTAAAATTGCCCCTAGGTGTGAGTGTGTCCGCCCAATGACAGCTGGGATAGGCTCCAGCACCCCACTGCGACCCAGAAGGATAAGCGGTTTAGATGATGTTTGTATGTATGCACCCTGGCGAGGCGAGGGCTTTTACCGTTGGAATAATGATGGCAGATCGTGAGTCAGCATCGTTTACAGTCAGAACTACGACGGTATCTGATCATCTTTGAACCTCTGAAATGCTTTCGCTATTATCCGTCTTGCGCCGGTCCAAGAATTTTACCTGTAGCGGCGTAATACAAATGTCCCCATATGGCAGCTTAATTTTTGACTCAACACAGGAAAACTCACCCGGCCTGGACACGGAAAGGATTGACAGATTGATAGCTCTTTCTCGATTCTGTGGGTGGTGGTGCATGGCCGTTCTTAGTTGGTGGAGCCATTTGTCTGGTTAATTCCGATAACGAATGAGACTCCCTCATGCTAAGTAGTTACGCGGCCCCCCCCCCGTGGTTGGCCCACTTCCACCAAACTTTAATGGCTTACTCCTGTCCTCTGACCACTTCTAACGAGCCTACATCCAAAGCCTAGGCGAAAGTAGGCCTAATATAAAATGAATTTATAGAAAATGTTGCTGACACTGAGCTAGATTGAAATGATTTACTGAACTAATTTACAACGTAAAACTAAAGAAGAAAGGAAAAATAAGGAAATTTGACTGTGAATGAAAAATGAACGATGATAAAGGGAATTGTGTCCAATACTCTGCTAAACCACCAGTGGGCTGCCCAGAAAAGGCTAGTGGACCACCAGCTTTGCCGTCAGCGAGCCAACAGTGGCCCACTATCTTCTTGCTTTTAGGGTAATGGTATTTAGTGTTTTCCTGATGAGAACACTAAATATGACTGCTGGACGCCACCAGGAAACAACACAAACTTTTTATTCAATTTTTTTCAGCAGGGTTAATCTTTTGCTAAGATAAATAGAGCCTTCCACAAATAATTCTACAGAACCGAATTTGCTCATTTTTGCTCATTCAGCACCTACTTTTCTAAATATCTTCTCTCCTCAGGTGACAGAACTGAACGAGCCACTGTCCAACGAGGACCGCAACCTGCTCTCTGTGGCCTACAAGAACGTAGTGGGAGCCCGGCGCTCGTCCTGGCGAGTGACCTCCAGCATCGAGCAGAAGACGGCGGCGGACGGCAGCGAGAAGAAGCTGGAGCTGGTGCGGGCCTACCGCGAGACCATTGAGAAGGAGCTGGAGTCCGTGTGCCAGGACGTGCTGACCCTGCTGGACCAGTATTTGATCAAGAACTGCGACGAAAGCCAGCTGGAGAGCAAGGTCTTCTACCTGAAGATGAAGGGAGACTACTACCGCTACCTGGCCGAAGTGGCGACCGGGGAAAAGCGAGCGTCCGCCGTGGAGGCTTCAGAAGCTGCCTACAAGGAAGCCTTCGACATCAGCAAGAGCATGGCGGCCACGCACCCCATCCGCCTCGGCCTGGCCCTCAACTTCTCTGTCTTCTACTACGAGATCCAGAACGCACCCGAGCAGGCCTGCCAGCTGGCCAAGGAGGCATTCGACGAGGCCATTGGTCACCTGGACAATCTGAACGAGGATTCCTACAAGGACTCGACGCTCATCATGCAGCTGCTGAGGGACAACCTGACCCTCTGGACCAGCGACCAGCAGGACAGTGAAGGAGGAGACCCCAATAACTGAACCAGAATTCACTCTGTTGTCCTGCGATCTTAGCTAGCTGTAGTAGCCCCCCATGCCCCCCCCCCCTTATAAGTCTCTCTGCCTTTTTCTGCTCTCTTCCTGTATCTTCTCTTCTCTTCTCTCCCCTGTCTTCTTTTCTGTTTCTGTGATGTTCCCCTGATTGATATTCACTCTTTTCATCAGGGTTCTTCTTTTCTTTTTTTTCTCTCTTCCTTTTCTTCTTTTCTCTTATTTCCTTTTCTCTTTTCTCTTTTTTGTTCTCTTCTCTTTTCTTTTTCGTTTTCTTCTCTTTTTTTGTCCTCTTCTTTTCTCTTTTCACTTTTTTTGTTTCTTTTTTTCTTTTTTCCCTTTTTTCGTTTCTTTTCTTTTCTCTGATTCCACCAGGGTTGCTGTTGCCTTATGGATCCACGCAGCCTTTTTTACTTTCTATAAACCTTTTCATCACTTAGCCTAGGTCTCTCTCTCTCTCTCTCTCTCTCTCTCTCTCTCTCTCTCTCTCTCCCTCTCTCCCTCTCCCTCTCTGTTTTCCCTCTCTTGCTGTTCCTGACCCTGTTTCTGTATGCCATCTCCCACTCCCCCTCCTCCCTGCTCCCTACCCCTTGATGAGTCGCTGATAATTAGCCTACTGGTCTCCAAGTGACATTTACTTAGTGTGTTCTCTCTGAAGGACTTGATCTCTATAGGGACTTTTTAATTAACACTAAATTATGGGGGGGTGTTTGAGTTTCTGTCTGTGGCGCCGTTACAGTGAAGTTGTTCCACTTTATTGCCGAATCGTGTGGTCGTAGCCTCCTCCTCACCTGTCTCCTCATCTGTACCCCTCTATCACTGCTTAGATGTGTATGTGTCCGTCGTCGCCCCCTATGCCACTCTCCTGTTGTGAACACTGCTAGCCTTGTGAATTGTGTATGCCCGCTGATCTCCGGTCAGTTAGCGATGGCTGGCCGGATGCCCGGCGGCTCCAGAGTCTTTGGTTAAGGTGACGCGCAATGCGCGAAAGAATGCCATTAAAAACAAAAGCCTGCCGAGGACCTCTGAGCCTGGAGTGAGTGTCTGCTTTATTACAGATCTCACTGACTTACTGCAGTTACACACATCTCTTCTCCTTCTCTCCTTTTTCCTCCTCTCTTTCTCTTCTGCCTCTCTCCCTATATACTTCTCTTATTTTGCTTTTTTTCTCACTTTCTTTCTTTCTTTTCCTGTTTCTTTTCTTCTCTCTCTCCCTGGCATTTTCTTTCTTTCTTTCTTTCTTTCTTTCTTTCTTTCTATACCTATTTTTTTCTTCTCTGTCTCTCTCCCTGGCATTTTCTTTCTTTCTCTTTCTTTCTTTCTTTCTTTCTTTCTTTCTTTCTTTCTTTCTTTCTTTCTTCTTTTCTCTCTCCCTTTCTCTTTACTTCTATCTTTACCTCTTTTTTCTTTTCTGTCTCCTCTTTTTTACCTCTTTCTTCTTTTTTACCTCTTTCTTCTGTCTCTCCCTGGCATTTTCTTTCCTTCTTTCTTTCTTTCTTTCTTTCTTCTTTTCTCTCTCCCTTTCTCTTCTATCTTTACCTCTTTTTTCTTTTCTGTCTCCTCCTTTCTGTCTCCTCCTTTTCTGTCTCCCCCTTTCCTTCATCCTTTTCGCATTCTCTCTTCCTTTCTCTTCCTTTCTGTTGCTTTTTTCTCTCTCCCTTGCTTCTATTTCTTTCCTCCTCACCCTCTTCACCTCCCTTTATTTTTTTTATTTTTTTCTCCCTCACTCTCTTTGCCTCTCTTTATTTCTTTATCTTTTCTCTCCTCTATCCTTTTCTCTTTCAATCTCTCCCCCCTTCTGTTTTTCTCTTTCTCTGTCCCACTTTCTCTTTTTCTCTCTCACACAAACATACACGCATATTTTCTCTGTCACAACACCAGCATGCACACTAACCAAACCTGAAGGTTTAAAAAGTACTAATAACAATAATAATTCACACGCATATTAAAAACACTGCTGGTTTTCATTGATAAATACACTTTAAAGCTCAGTAGATGCCAGAAGCACCATACTGATTATCCTAATGGGTAATAAACATCATATGCGTGTTGATATTGATTTATAATGTTTGTGTTAATGGAAAGCACATTAATGATCCTGACTGTAGTCTTTCATCAGGCTGCTCTGCAGAGGGCTGGGCTTTTATAAGCATGAATTGTTCCAGTCCTTCAGCTAAAGTTCAGGGTCACGATGAGTGATATGGACTTGGGTCAGTTAAGAGTCATTTTCAGAGCGTTGGGTAACACATGATTGACTGATGTATCTGAGTTTGGACTCTGTGACAGAATTATTAGCCAGAGAGGAACATACAGTTAAACCGCGCTCTCACAGATTAGCTGGAAATTTTCTAAAGAAGTAGTAAAGGGGCACGTCACTTCCTTGTTCTGGTGTATAAAGGAAAAAAAGAGGGCTCTCTTCCCAGAACCACTCTGTACTTTTACAGACCAAAGCAAACAAAACAAAAACACATTTTTAATACATAACCACTTTAGTTTTTGGTGTTAAACCTGACTATTAAAAATATTTTTTGAGTAACAGCATTGGTTACATAACCAGGGTGACTCAAAGGACCAAAGTGGTCCTTTATATTTGTGCTGTTATAATTTTGTTATGGTTGCTTTCATAACATTATGATGGTCAGATGTTAAATTCTCAGTTGCATCTGTAATTCAGCCTAATATTACGCCCCTTATAATTAGTAGTCAAACTGCAGGAAGTCAGAGTGCTTTTCTTTTTTGAGAAGCCCAAATGTTGACCAACCGCTTAAGAACCATTCATCAAAAGGGTGCTAAAAACCAGCACTGCAAAAACAAATTTGAAAAAGCAGCATGAAGAGTTTCGATGAGTGGATAACCACTCCTACATGGAGAGAACCTTCAAGTTAACATTCAAATCCTCAAGTAAAAATACTTTTATGTTACATTTTTATACAACCCCATTTCCAAAAATGTTGGGACGCTGCACAAAATGTAAATAGAAACAAAATGGTATGATGTGCAAATAATTTAAACCCTATATTTAATTGAAAATACTACAAAGACAACATATCCAATGTCAAAACTGAGAAATTTTATTATTTTTTCGAAATATATATGCCAACAGCACGTTTCAAAAAAGTTGGTACGAGGACAACAAAAGGCTGGTAAAGTTGTGTAATGCTAAAAAAAACACCTGGTGGTTGATTGGCAACAGGTCAGTAGCATGATTGGGTCTAAAAGAGCATCCCAGAGAGGCTGAGTCTGTCAGAAGTAAAGATGAGGAGGTTCGCCACTGTGAAAGACTGCACAATCATATAGTGCAGCAATTCAAGAATAATGTTTCTCAATGTAAAATAGCAAAGAACTTTTGCTACTAATCATCTACGGTACATAATAACATTAAAAGATTCAGAGAATCTGGAGAAATCTCTGTATGTAAGGGATAAGGCCAAAGACCAATATTTGCTGGCCGTGATCTTTGGGACCTCAGGCGGCACTGCATTAAAAACAGACACGATTCTGGAGTGGAAATCACTGCATGGGCTCAGAAACAGTTCTTAAAACCACTGTCTATAAACACAGTTTGTTGCTGCATCCACAAATGCTAATTAAAACTCTAAAAAGCAAAGAAGACACTGTACATAAACAGGATCCAGAAACACTGCTACCAAAACTCATTTAAAATGAACTGAGGTGAAGTGAAAGAAGTGTTCTGTGGTCCGACGAATCAACATTTGAAATTGTTTTTGTAAATCATGGACACTGTGTCCTCCAGGCTAAAGACCACTCAGCTTGTTATCAGTGCTCAGTTTAAAAGCCAGTATTCATGATGGTATAGGTGAGCATTAGTGCACATGGCATGGGTGACGTGCACATCTGTGAAGGCGTCATTAACGCTGAACAATATAAACATATTTTGGCAACATATGCTGCCATCCAGACGACGTCTTTTTCAGGGAAGGCCTTGATTATTTCAGCAAGACAATGTCAAACCACATTCTGCATGTATTACACCAACATGGCTTCTATTAAAAAGAGTCCGGGTGCTAAACTGGCCTGCCTGCCATCCAGACCTGCTACCCACTGAGAACATTTTGCACATTATTAAATGAAAAATACGACAAAGGAGACCCCGATCTGATGAGCAGCTGAAATCCTATATCAAGCAAGAATGGGAAAACATTTCACTTTCAAAACTACAGCAGTTGGTTTCCTCAGTTCCCAAACACTTACAGAGTGTTGTTAAAAGAAGGCATCAAATTAAAAATGGGCACATATTTTTCAAAAAACAATAAAATTTCTCATTTTCAACATTTGATATGTTGTCTTTCTACTATTTTCCTTTAAAAATATGGTTCCCATGATTTGCTCATCATTGCATTCTATTTTTATTTACATTCTGCACAGCATCCAAACTTTTTTGGAAATTGGGTTGTAAATCAATTGTGCAAATATAAATAATATTTTTACTTATTGCCACCTAGGACAAATCTACAAACTGAAAAGTTCATGAAACTGCTGTAGATGCATTTGTGTAAAAGTACCGTCCACAAAAAAATACTGTCAAAGAAGTAAATATGCTGCATTATACTGAATCCTTTAAGACATTGTGGATTTTAAGGCCTGAAGAGAGCTCACACATTATACTCACTGGCCACTTTATTAGAAACACCTACCTTGTGCATCCACTCACTGGCCACTATATTAGAAACACCCACCTTGTGCTTCCACTCACTGGCCACTTTATTAGAAACACCCACTCTGTACTTCCATTAACTGGCCACTTTATTAGAAACACCCAGCCTGTGCTTCCACTCACAGGCCACTTTATTAGGAACACCTGCTTTGTATGTCTACTCACATTTAGACTGACCACTGATGAAAGGCTAGATGATCAGTAACAAAACTATGCATCAGCAACGGAGGGTTTTCCTAATAAAGTATGCAGAGGTTCAAAGTATTTACAGAAATACAAGTCCTGTGATTAATCAGCTGAATCGCAGGCCTGCAGTGTAAGGGGTAAGTATAGTGCAGTAGTAGTTAGTATAATAACTCGACCTCATGTAATCAGCCACCTTTGACCCTTATTATCACAGATTTTTCTCTGATATCAGCCAGTGGTTCTGACTGCATTCAGTCCAACAAAGCTTCTCCAGGCCTGGTCCACTTTTCTGAGACCCTGTTTGAGAAGCACCTCAGGGTGTCAGGATGGCAAAGGCTGGCAGACTCATTACTGGCACGTTTCACCTGCATGCTGTCTGCAGGATCTGAGTGGATTCAGTGTGTGATCT